TTAATCTCCTCTTACTACTAGGCGTGCTTTACATTTAGTTAGGTTACTACCTTGATTACTTTTATATATATATACTTATTTACATTCCAGCACTTTCACATGCTTAGGTTTATCTACCTCTACTTATGTTTTTATTATTTCATAGCTAGCTAGGTAGTCCTACTCTACCTTTATAAATTCTTTAAATAGTAGGTAGTTTTTGACTTGGTAGTATATCTTTAGAAAGGTTGGTAGCTAATCTAGGTAGGTCCTAATTAGATTCTCTAGTTACCTATTCTATCTTTATATTTCTACCTTGGAGGCTAGTATTCTATCTTATTAAGTTAATTATATTAACCTCCCTACTATAAATGCTAATTTCCATACAATTTAGTAACTTCTATTTGGCTTGATTTCTTCTTTAATTTTAGCTATCTTATGTTAGTAAGCACCTGCTAACATTACTGCTAACTATTCTAGGCTACTACCTAGTAGTATTAGATAGGCTATTTACTTATTTATATTAGTATCCTTATCCTTATCTACAGCTTTAAGTACTAATCTTGATATTTGAACTAGATAATTAAGCAAGTTAAAATTGCCTTCTAGAATATTTCTTATTATAGGGTAATCTATATTTAATACTCCCTAGATTAGAATATAGGTTTTAATTTTAATATTCTTAATTATTTATTTAAATTTATTAATTTTAATTATCAGGAAGTCATCCTTTATTATTTAGATAAATATATCTCTATCTTCTAAGAAAAATTCTTCCTTATTAAATATAATATTCCTTATATAAATAATCTTCCTTTCCTTCCTTAGATTCTATATTTAATAGATATTAGTAGATTTATATCCTACTATATATCCTATAAATATTCTTAGGTTGAACTACTTTCTATACTTTACTATTATAATTACTTATAGTTTAATTATTATAAATACCTTATAACTATATATCTTTAGATAAGTTTTTTAGGGTTTCTTGTATTCTACTACTACTCTATCTTGGTAGATAATATAGATATAGAATTAATTAATTAGTATTTTCTATCCTACCTAATATTTAGATATTTAATTATATAAATATACTACTATATAGATGTATTTAGGCTATAGAAATATAGATAGTTTTACTTCCTATCTTATTATATATGCCTTCTTTTTTATTATACCCCCTAAGTACTCTATACCTCTATTTTAGGCTAGTATATATAGAGTAGAGTAATTAAGTCTTGCTCCTTTAGATTATATAAAGTCTTCTAACCATCCCTTTATCTTGCTATCTGACTTAATTACTTAGGGTTTAATATCATATTACCTCTCTAGAAAAGTAAATAGGTTAAGCAGGATATTTTTAATTATCTCTATATATTAGTCTAAGAGATAGTAATCCTATATAAAACCTAACTATCTATCTATAATTAATAATAGGGCTTGATAATTATCTATCCCTATTTTAAAGTTATAAAAATTAATTACTAACTATAAACCTAATCCTTCTACAGTAATATAGTTCTTTTAGTTAATTCTTTACTTTATTTTTACTATACTACAGGCATCATATTCTACTATAATAGGTCCTCTAATCTTTATCCCCTTAATATTCTTAATTAGGTAATCTAATACTTATAGTCCTGGATATCTAAAGTATAAATACTATTATTTTATATCTCTAATACTAGTAATAATTTAAAATATTACCTAGCCTGTTATACTATATAATTTATTATTATATTCTATTATAAATTAGCTATATTTCTTATTAAGATAGGCTACTACTATACCTTTAGATATATAAAGTAGGTTAAAATTAGGATTATTCTTAAAATAGATATCTATTTAGTTTAATAATATAAGTAATACTAGATTATATACTATTTTTTTATAATAAGCTATATCCTTAAAGATTATATAACTATATTTTATATCTTTATCTCTTTAAATTATAACCTATATACTAATATCTCTATATCCTATAATAAGTACTTTTAAGTCTCCTATTTATATATAATTATCTTATATTAATTCTATATATTACTTAAATTAATATAAATTATTAAATATATAAATTAATAATCTTAAATTAAGAATAATAAAGTATTATAATAAATATAGTATAATTTTAAATTAGGTATTAAATAAAGCTTTAACTTTATCTCTATTCCTATCTTTTATTTAACCTACTCCTTAGTTACTTCTTTCTTCTAGTTATTCTAAGTCTTATTTATTTTATTCTCACTTCTTTACTACCTTTTTAGCTAGAGCCTTATTTATCTTAAGTTATATATTAACTAGCTTTCTTATTATACTCCTTTTCTTAAAGTTCTTAGGTACCTTTTTCAGGAATAAATAAAAATATTATATTTATTTATATCTTTAAGAATATATATTATATAACTAATATAAGTCTTTAGAAGTACTTCTTTTAGAGTCTATTTTTTCTATACTATTATATTTATACTTATATTTTATTCTCTTATCCTATAGTAGGGATATTTCTTTATTACTAGTTATATTTATTATATCTTTAATAGTAAATATTAGTTTAAAAGCTCCTCTACTAGTCTTACTATACTACTATAGGAATATATTAATAGTATCACGGAAGTTATTTATTATAGTATAAAATAATAATATTCCTACTAGTATCTCCTTCTTATAGTCTAATTAATAGGATATAGTCTAGAATAAAGCTAGATAATATATTATATTTAGAAAGTCTTCCATTTAGTCTAGTAATAATATTATAACTCTAAAGTTTGCTTTAATTACCTGTTAAATAGTAAATTCCTAGTTATTTAACTAACTAACTAAATTACCTTTTAAAAGTTAGATTACCTTTATATAAGTATTATAGGCTATATTTTAAATTTATTTCTAATTAACTATTATATATTCTTTTAGTTTGAGATACTACTCCTCTAGGGTTTCTATTAGTTTGCAGTAGAAGTAATAGATCTTTAGGAAAATAATATATTAGACCTAATTTTTTAGTTTTTTAAGTTCTATAACCTAATAGTTATACTTATTTATTTCTATTTTATAGAGTACTACTTCAGAGTTAAAGTCTTATAATAATACTATAGAACTCCTAGTACTATTTACTAGTAGAGTTTCTTTACTATCCCTAATTAATCTAGTAGGTTATTATAAATAACTCTTACTACCTTCTATTATTTCCTATAGATTGTTATCTCTTGCCCATGCTTTAAACAAGAATTACTATATTAGCTAGTCTTCTTACTTAGTAAGCCTCACTGCATTATCTTTATTATTAATAGTTGGAGGTATTGCGCTCAGTATTTTACTAATTAGTAAGTTTAGTAGGGGTCATTAGTATTTTAATAATTAGTAAGTTTTAGTAGGGATTATCAGTATAGATTCACGTGCTTTAAGCAAATATAAGACTCTTAATTATCAGATATATAATGATCCTAGGGGTAGCTTAATGGAAGCAGGTGATCAGATATATTGATATGTGTGTCTGTTGGGGGGTTGTGTGCTTGCCTAAGGCCTTAATATAGGGTAATAACCCCCCTTTGCTTACTAAGTACATCACGAGATACCCCTTCAATTCAACACATACATGCCAGTATTAACTAATTCAAACACAGTTAACTACCGAGTTATACCCAACCAACAATCAGAACAAAAAGGCAATCCCAATCAACCTCGAGAGCGCCGATGCAGATATCCAGAGAAAGAAAGAAGTCCTTCATCTTCAGCGACGGATGTGGTGGTGAGGTGAGTTGACCTCGGGGTTGGTGGGAGTTGAGGGTAGCATGCTTGCTTGCTGCTCTACTTGGGTAGTAAGTAGTTGCTACTAGGTAGCTAGGATTTAGTGCTGGAAGTCATGTTAGCTATTATATTCTTCTTCTTCTTCTTCTTCTTCTTCTTCTTCTTCTTCTTCTTCTTCTTCTTCTTCTTCTTCGAGTTGAATAGAGGGCAAGAACCCAATGAAGACACTAGGGAGGTAGGTAGGTAGGTAGGTGTCTTGTAGTACGTACCTTGCAGCTATCGCAAGAGCAGCCCTTGCATTCACCGGAGCAGCAGTTGCAGGCGCAGGGAGACATGATGATGATGATGATGATAGGTTTGGATGGTGGTGTGGTATAGAACCCGAGGAGTGGTGGTTATGTTGTATATGTGTGTGTTTGGTGGGAGAGAGTGAATTGTAGCTTGGAACAGAGCAGGAGAAGGAAAGGCGAAGAAGGGGGGTCTTTATACCCTTGGGTTCTTTCTGCTTTGCTGGGATGCGTACGTATCTACCTACCTAGGTATGTATACTACTACTACTACTACTATTCAGGTGTACATGGTATGGTGTCCCCTCTTCCAATCAACCACGTATGGTATATGCATAGGTGAGAAGAGGGGAGAGAAGAGACCCAGTGCCGGGCAGGTAGGTGCTTCTTTCTTGCATACCAGTACCATACCCACCTGTTTTCATTGATTGATTGACTGGGAGAGTAGATATGAGGGATTTCACTTCCGGGTTTGTTTTCTTTTAGGCTCTGAGATGTTGATCGGAGTCGTATTGAAACTTAAACCATTTCATGTGTCTGATGACGTTTTTTTTTTTTCTGCTCTTTGTTTCTTTCTTCCTCCTCTCTATTTGGAGGCTGTTGGGAGGCAGCAGAGGGGTGTGGAGGACGCCAGATTTGTTGGTTGATTTCGTGGTTTTGGTGTGTGTGGGGAGCGAAGAGGGGGAAAGTGATGCGCCCAATGCGTTGAAACTTACGCCTACCAGGTAAGTAACCTACTACTACTACCTAGGTGGGTACTGGGGCTTGTTTCTACTATACGGATAACATGATTGATATTCCTTCTTCTATTCGAGTACGACAGAGAAGATCGTGTCTTCTCTGAGGGTTCTATCTAGGTCTGCTTCCAGAGAGAAATGCCGAAAGGAAATAGCATCGTATCATTGTCATGCCACGTTTGAGAGCAGCAGCATATTACTTCACTGATGGAGTACAGGGCAAAGTTACAGAACGAGGCTAGCAGTAAGAGCGCAAATGCTGTGTGGTTCTTCTTTGTCCACGATATCCCGAGGGGGCAAATACTCCAAGCAACGCCTGTTAGAAGTCAGATCAGGGCAAAGGCAAGTCAGAAGATGAGCTCCTCAGTTAACTCCAACTAGTCCCCTTGTGGTTGCATCATAATGGAGTCTTGTATACGCGCTAGCATCTGCAACATCTTATCTCATCCATCGACGCTACCTGTCTTCCTACCAGGGGAGTCATTGGCTAACCAATGCCCTAGGTGACCAGGAAGTTGAACCGGGGAACAGGACACCACGTCGCTTTCGTCGTAACCCCTCTCTTGAGATTCCATTCCATCTCAGCGCAAGTCAACGTGGATCTGCAGCCCTTGGTGCTCGCAATCCTGGTTATAGCGAGGAAACACTATGCGGCCCAACCCACACCTCCAGGGAAGAGGCTTCTATAGCCAAGAGCTATAGTTCGCAGCATACCCTACCTCTTTCCCTGCAATGCTGCCCTTAGCAACTAACCCGAGTTGCTCAACAAAGTATAAATATCTCAGACCGTCACCTACCGTAGCGATCATGACCAACGTGGTATAAACACTGGACTGGGAATGGGACTTCATGCGCGCCAACCGCACGAAGGGGAGAGGCCGGAGGAGGAGGATCGGAGCTGTACGTCTAATTGGGTTACGGAAATTACGTTGGTAAGCGCAAATAAACCCAGTAACTAGTTAGTCCGAAGACATGTTTGGCTCTTCGCCCTCCCTCTCTCACGCGCGCACGCACAGGATCCCTCCGTATTCGGCCGTTTGAAAGGCTATCATACGTTGACTTGCTGCAGAGAAAAGTTTGTCGCTATGAGACCGTAAACAGGAGAGTATGAATGGGTCCGTGACCCATTCTCTGTATGTACCTTGAGACAATTAGGTAGCTAGTACGGAGTAGTACATAATATGGAGATTAGCATGCATCTGCTTTTGTTGGGCTCAAAGTCGATCTTACCCTAATAATTACGCAAATCCTCGATTCAGGATATTAAGAAACTTGAATTACAAAGGAAACCAAGATTAAGTGTAGCCTCCCGAGTGAGATTTGGTGCTAGGGATCTGTCATATAGTACAAGATACCATCCAACCCCCAGTACCAATCAATAACCATCATCAAGACTTGTTCTATTGCACTCGCTGGAGCGCGTCGGGATACTGAAAGTAATTTATTTCTTCTATTATCACGGCGGGGATGTATTAGCATATTATAGTAGAATGTGACAAGCGGAAACTCAGCAAGGAAATCATAGTTACCGGGCACTGGCAGGAGCCGGCAGGGCACTGGCAAGAAGCACCGCAGGAGCATCCGTGGTCAGCTATTACAGCTCATTGTCAGCAAGAAAATCTCTCCAACTATAAGTTTTATCGTCCGCGCAAAGACAAAAAGAAAATACGAAGAAACTAAGGTTGGTGTGGTGGTTCGATTCGACCTCCAAAGGCCTCCAGGAAGGGTTAAACACCCCGCCAATTGGACCCCCCGCCAGGTAGATAAAAGGCACAGAGAGGGTAAGAAGGAACCTAACTACGTACCCATTTTGAGAATGTAGTGAGTGGTGGTTTTTGAAAACACGAAGATTTTGCTTGTGGTTGTTTTGAGATTGACAGACAACTTTCTTAAGAGAAGGCTGAGATTGTGTGTTGAGAAAAAGAGAGAGAGAGAGAGAGAGAGAGAGAGAGAGAGAGAGAGAGGAAGCCCAAGGCGGGGTTGATTTACCCGCTATTTATACCCGTTCGAGTCACGAATAGACGGTTGTACGGAGTACTGCCACTCCACCCGGCTTCCATATGAGCAGATTTCTGCAAGTAGATCGGCTTTGCTTTTCCCTGGACGCCGTCGCAGTACGCATTGATGATGTTTGGGTTTGTGCAAGGAGTATCTGAGTAAGTGTCTCTAACGAGATTTAATCCTAGCTTGAAACTGTTCGACGTTCTACATTCTATGACGACTAAAAGAGGGCGTTTGAAGCTATACGTACTTGTTAAGAAAAGTCCGGTTAATCAGACATCAAAGACAAGATGGCACTTCCCGTTTCCGGCTTATGTGGGAGAGCCACTCAGCTGGTGCAACTGGATTCATCCAATAATGACCATATCCTGAACCTTGGTCACTGCGCTACATGTCAGGCAGTCTCTGGGCAGCTCTGTACTGCTTATTACCTCCTTCAAGGGGAGCCTCGAAGCCTTGACAGCCTCGAGGAATATCAGTCGGATGGGGTCAGCCGCTACTTTTGTGAAACCTGTGGATGTCAATCGTTCGCATACTCCAAACAAACGGGGCAATACTTCGTCGCATCAGGGCTGGTGGATACCCCGCCTCAGACCAAGAATGCACGCCACTGGGGAGTTGGCGATACCTGGGATGGTGGGCTAACATCTTTTCTCCCTGGTTTTCTTATCTCCGGTTCAAACGATGCGCAAGACACCGTCGAACAAACAAACTGCAACATGGCAACGGAGGATTCCCGCCAGCTTCTTGCCCAATGCCACTGTGGAGGCATTGAACTGTATATTACTCCGCCGGACTCTACATCCACTGAGGCATGGTCGCCCTGGCCAGATCTCATAATCCCGTACCATTCGGGCCCAGAGGCCGCAGAAAATAAAGAAGATATAAAGTGGTGGCTGCAAGATAACCGCACCAAATATATGGCTGGAACTTGCGCTTGCCGGACATGTCGCCTAGCCAGTGGATTTCCCATTCAGTCATGGGCATTTATCCCGAAATCAAATATCCTGACTGCAGCAAACTCCCCACTTACTTATGACGCACTCCGAATATCTTTCGCGAGTTTTGCAGCCGCTGCGGAGCATCAGTGTTCTGGCATTGTAAGAAAAGACCTCTAATCATTGATGTTAGTGTTGGCCTTTTTCATTCCAAACGTGGCACAAAGGCCGAGGATTGGCTAGATTGGGCCACAGGAAGATGTAGTTTTGCGGAAATGGCAGCGGAAATGCCCTTGATTGAACAGTTAGAAGCTGGTATGAAAGTCTAGAAACAGCAGAAGAAGGGCGAAGAAGGTTAGTTGGGGCTTGATGCTGTCGTCACAGACAATATCACTGGTGGTTTCATGAAGCAAAAGGTGAATATACCCATAATTTGCCTCTATTGCCCCCTCCTCTGAAGTGTTGGAAGATGAATGCGATGATTTCTATATACATGTGGTGCGCGAAGCTGGATTTACCGCCTTCCTAAAAAGACCTCCCGATTTTTTTTTCTGCCCAAAAAAAAGTAGGAAAAACGCGCGCCGCATCTACATATACCCGTAACCATCCTCAACTCGTCATCCGTTTCCTGAGCAATCTTCCTTTATCGTATGGTACACCTCACTCGTCCCTAGGATTATCCACCACTTAGCCTACAATATCTCATCATGCCGCCCCCGGCGTACGAGTTTCGAGGGGGTCATCAACGCTCATCGCATCATCCCAAACATGAATTTACATTTCGGTACATGCGCCCTGCCACGTCGGAACGGCCCCTCTTAAGAACGAGGAGAGAAGTAACCCCAGAGTTGCTCGTCGGATCTGGGACGGGGGATGAAAAGCCGGCAATGAAGTTTGCACCGATCGAGAACCTTAGCGATAGCGAAGAAGCCGATATGGATGTGTCCTCGGATGGAGAAGAAGATTCACGTCCTCGCAAGAAACGCGCCCTGGAAAACGATGACGTGCCTACCCCAGAGCCCATCGTCCCCCCAAAGCCCACGCCAAAATGGTCTAATCCAGACCCGTACACTGCTCTACCACCACCAGACGAGACTCGGGCCGGAAGAGTGGATGTGGTCAAACTGATTCGGAAAGCGCGCATTGCTGCGAGCGCACAACCCGCCCAAACGGATGCCGTTGTATCGAACGAAGACTTTATTTCCCTTGCTGGCCTTGTTGACGAGGAGGAGGAACAGCAGAGACCACCCGAGAATGCACCTACAGGACCGAGACGCCATCTGCAAGGAAATGATCCTGCGCTTGGCAATCGGAAGAGAACATACGACGATGAGATTAAGGGGCCTGCTAAACTGAGCGGAAAACCAATTAGCAAGTTCTACTGCGATGCCGCAATCATTGATGAATGGAAGCTACGCCCATCCGAATCAGGGACTCCGTGGTTAAGCCACATGCAGCCTACTTTACATCTGGGGACAAGGTATGTATAGCAATATCTTGGGTCGTTTTGCGTACGTCCGCTAATGAGTGCAAAAGGCTGCATAACGAGATTTTGAATTTCTATCAATGGGTAAAACCCTTGCAGTATGAGCAAATCGTGCGTTCAGATACAGTGTCTAGGCTCCAGACTGCTTTTCAAAATCGGTACTATAGTGTGCAACTCCGCCCTTTCGGCTCATTCGCTTCTGGATTATATCTTCCGACTGCTGATATCGACCTTGTGCTCCTTTCTACCAACTTCATGCGCAACGGTATCAAAACATTTGGAGAGAGGAAAGGGCAGATTTATGCTTTTTCGGCCTTCGTTAAGAACCTGAATATTGCTGTCCCCGGCTCAATAGAAACTATTGCTCATGCTCGAGTTCCGATTTTGAAATTTGTTGATAAATTGACCGGGCTCAAGGTGGATCTATCGTTTGACAATGACAGCGGGCTTATTGCAAACAATACATTCCAACAGTGGAAGTCAGAATATCCGGCGATGCCTGTTATTGTATCGGTAATCAAACAGTTCCTCCTCCTTCGGGGCCTAAATGAGGTTCCAACAGGTGGCTTGGGTGGGTTTTCTATAACCTGTCTTGTCACCAGTCTTCTTCAACACATGCCTCATAGCAATCTTTCGCCAAATCTGGGCGGCATTCTTATGGACTTCTTCGAGTTTTATGGAAACAATTTCGACTATGAAAGTGTTGGGATTCGCTTGGCTCCCCCAGGTTATTTCAACAAGGTCAGTTAATCAACCTGCAATCTGCTCTCCTTAGATCCAACCAGGCTGACGAACGTGTAGCGAGTCTATAAGGTTTACAAAGAAAACAACAACGCCCGTCTTTCTATAGAGGACCCAAACAATCCTGATAATGATATATCTGGTGGAACTCGGGAAATTGCTTTGATTTTCAAGTCATTTTCAGAGGCATATCGACTTCTTAAAAATCGGATGCTGTCGATGTCCATTTCAGGTAGAAATCATGACAGCATCCTTGGAGCCATTATTGCTGCAAACTACGATGAATACACTGAGTGTCGATGGCAACTACGTGATGTCTTCGACAACAATCCTAGATTTGCCCAGTATCGCCAATCTCCTTCGCCTCCACCACCTCCTCAGAGTCCTCCGCCAAAGGAGTCTGTCCCCCCACCTCCCCCTCCAACGGTCCCAGTTAAACCATCAGCACCGTCTCCGCAATCGTCCCGGGAATCTAAAGAAAAGTTGACGAAGATACAAAGAAAGAAACATGCCTCGAAAGATCGCGCGTCTCGTTTGAAACAACTGCGTCCAGACATCGCGTCCATCCCGACTTCTATCAGCAATAAACAAGCCCTTGAACTCGGCGGCTACAGTACCCAGTCTGAAATGGACAAGGATCTAACCATGCGGGAGAAGGGGTTGAGTAACGCTAGCAAAAGCTAAGAAGTCCCTGTCGAACGTAGCAAATTTCACCCGCGAGAGCTCTCAACATGTTAATATGTGGCATGATGTTCTCTTTCTCTTTCTCTCTCATTCTTTCCTTTCTTTTTTTCCCCCAAGCCGTACACATGTATTGTTTATCTTTGCATCAGATACCCTTTTGTTATGACGTCCGGATTCTGCATGGGAGCGAGTTGTCTTGCAATGGTTCATATCCTATTACTTTCCTTAGGCATTTGACGGAGCACAGGAGTACTGGATCCTAGACAGTGACGTGACAGCTTCAAATGGCTAGCATATGCTCAGGACGATGACGGGATTGGGTTGGTCTTCTTCTTCTTCTTCTTCTTCTTCTTCCTCTTCCTCTTCCCTAACACATTAAAACCTGGGAATTCCTCTCCTTCATCATGCATAGATTCGCTGACGACAAATTCAAATCCACAGGCGCTTAACTGGATTTAGTAATCTCTTGGAAACCCCGCGACGATCCCTGATGCCGACGCTGATGTTGACGTTGATGTTGGTATTTTTTTTTTTCGCAGCATCTAAATCTAGACAGACAGACAGACAGACAGACAGCCAGACAGCCAGACAGCCAGAGGTTTGTTTATACCTCGTTGACACTACTATATCGGTATCGGTATCGATATCGGTCAACAAACATTACACAAATACCTTTATGAGTTAGATGACAGAATCGAATTGAATTGGCACAGTCATTGGGGCGCCTTAGCGTCTCTTTGTTCGTGCCGCAAATCTTCTCTTTTCCCACCTTTCTCATCAAGGGAGCGCTATATGCGTTTGCTTGGAGAGGCTAGGATAGGATAGGACGGGTTTGTTTTGGGAGAAAAAAAGGGGGGGTTCTGATTCTCAGAGAATCAAATCATACGGACGGAATTGAATCTCGCTGTGCATACATGCTAGCTAACAGGTGATGTCTTGGGGCAGTAAAGAATTCAGACCGGGTCTTGGGTTGTGAATATACATCTATGCGGGATATTGCATTTATACTAAACATGAGGTGGATCCCCTGAGGCAGGGGGTATCCAGGGTAAGAAAGCAACTCATCGTTGAACGCAAGTGCTTATTTATGGTACAGGAGAACATAAGAGTGGAGAATAGATCGGGATAGAAGCAGAAAGATGTCAATAAAAGAGGTACAAGAGGATCAAGCATCTCCACATCTGTCCGTCTTCTTCCGGCAGCCTCATCTTCTCGGTTTTGCGTTCAGCCCCTGGGGATAATATACAGTGTGAAGTCAAGGATCACGCAGGGCCGACAAGCGAAAAACTTTGAAAGGAAGGCACCGCTGAAAGAAGATGGAACTAGAGAAACGCCGATTTCGGCATGGTCACTTTTTGAGTTAGGTTGATTCAACCGTTATAACCAGTATTACCGGGGAGCTTCTCCAAAGAAGAGGTAAAATAGTGAAAGTCTAGGGTTTTCTCCGATCCAAAATGCTCGAGTCACCAGAAACGCCATGCTATGCCGCAAAAATCGAGAGGGGAAAAGAAAACAATGGTGTCGGTCTTTCGTTGTGATGCGCGCAGCTCCGAGCCCGGGGCAGAATCAAGGTGCGTGCCTTTTCCAAAGAAGCCGAGGAGGACCTATTCAATCTCGGATTCCACTCAGAGGAAGGGAGAGAGGCAAATCACCGGTCCTTGTACACCTTGGGTTTCCAACCATCCTTTAGCTCCTTTTCCTGGGCGGCGTCTCGCTCGGCTGTTCGGACCTCCATCTCTATCCTCTCGCGCGCGCGCAGAATCTTGCTCTGCAGGTAGAAACTGCCGCCCTTTTGGGGGTCGTTGAGGTCAAACAATTTCTTGAATCGCTCCATCACCTGTTCGAGGTTTGCCTCGCCGTTCTGAGGGGGCTTGACGTTGAGAATCTTGCACGCTTCATCCAGAGTCAGGCCCGAAGTAGCGAAAGCACCTCCAGAGCCCTTTTGGCCATTTTTCCCCTGGTATTTAGATGCCGCGGAGGCCTGTTTGTAGGCTTCAGCGAAGGCGCGGCCGAAGACTCGTGCGCCAGTGACGACGACTTGGGTGACAATGCGGTGTGCCTGTTAATTAACAACGATTGCGATAATTAGTTACTTGCGCATAAGATGACTTGAATGAATAGGAAAGAAATAAAGAAACGAGAATGTCATAGTTTACCGGGGGACAGGATTCAACGTACCATAATGAAGCAGCGAAAGACGTGACCCGAAAAGGCGACGCGGTAAAAGGAGGGGGGGGAGAAAGAGAAAAAAAAAGAAAGTGAACTGAGCTCCAGAGGAGATAAGAAGGAGCCCAAAACAAAGAGGGATATATTCAGGGCCGAATGGCGAATGTTGAGTGGTGTAAATGTCCAGTGGATGGCGATGGAAACAGCCGGAGCAGATATGAAGCCTTAGGGAAAAAAAATTCGGAGCACGGGATTAATTTTTGGCGGTGGCAGCAGTTTGGCGCGTACAGTACCTGGTTGGGAAACACTGCAACAAGACAATTGATATCAATCAGGATGACCCTGAGTCTATCCTAGAAAGTATGTTATTTTTGTATGCTTATACTCTTCTAAATTATCTTTCACTTTACTCATATTATTCCTATCATCATTTTCTCCCCATGTAAACTCCTAGTTGCACATCTATTGTCTACATATCTCGGCAATTCGCACTCCCCAAATAAAATCACATGCCCCGAAGCACCCCAAAAAAAGCTTCACTCGCACCGCGGGTCCGAGTTCATTCTTCCTCCACCCCCGGCAGGCTGAGCTGCCTTCCTCTACCCTCATTCTAGTCGGTGATTTTCTTTGAATCTTCTTCTTTTTCCCCTCCCCCTCCTCCTCCTGCCTTCCTCTTCGCGCTTCACCGCCCGCGATGCCCTTGTTGGTTGTATATGACGTCTCTGTTGGATGGCAGCACTCGGTATGTGCCTGATTGATGGGTGGATATGCATAGCTTACCATCACTGCATCCCTGGCTAAACATCACTCACTCCCCGTGTGGTGGTGTCAGTGACCTTCATGGCACGATGCTGATACTCAGGCTTGGATAGAAGATATCCCGTGGATAGATTCCATGGCCCCCGCAACGCTCCCAAACGACCATGCTGATTCTCAGCCTCTGACGGTCGCTGCATTTTCGCCCACTACCATCTCGGGATCCTCTCTGACCTCCCGACAGCGTTCTAGCATCATCGTACATCGCAAGTCCCCTCTACTAGTTGCTACTCCTCCGCCGGTCACGCGAGCTCTTGCCTACTCATACCCGTTCATTTTGCCGCTAAATACCCTCGTTGGTTTGCTGACATGGACAACCGGCGACTCCTGGCAGAGCTTCCTCCTGGTAGCGGGGTTCTGGGCGGTGGTACTATACGGTGATGCTATTATTCTCCGGGCTGGGCCGCCCTTGGTGGTGATCGGGCTCATCCTGGGAATGTACTGGAGACGTTACTCGCCTTTATCGACTAGGGCTTTCTCGACAGAGAAACACAATCAATCAGCTTCGTCAGACGGTTCTTCTCATCACCATGAGAGTCTTGATGAGATCGTGGAGGCAATGAGGACATTTACTACACGGTGTAATATTCTTTTGGAGCCACTCGTGGAACTTACAGATTTCTTGTCAACCCAAAGGACGGCTACCTCCGCGACCACGCGGCCAGCGCTTACTACTCTATTCTTTCGAATCCTCTTTGTTACTCCTATATGGATTGCCCTGACGCTTCCCCCTGTATACCTAATCACTACTCGCCGTGTCATTATGGTTATCGGCACCATCATCCTTACATACCACTCCCAATCAGCCAGGGTATGTCGTGTTATTCTCTGGAGATCACTTACGATACGCCGCATATGCTCTATTATAACGGGCCTGTCCTTTTCTTTGAATGCAAGCAAGGTGCATATTATGCAAAGTCATGGTCACGCAGCCAATGTTGCCACTAGACGCCGCGGAGACTCCTCCGGCGTTCGTTTTACCTTTATTCTTTATGAGAACCAACGCCGTTGGCTTGGACTCGGTTGGACATATTCCTTATTCCCCTCTGAACGCGCTGGGTGGACCGATGAACATCTAAATCAGGTTCCGTCGAAAAGTGATTTTGAACTACCTGAAGTTCAAAGCGGAAATGCAAAGTGGCGATGGGTTGAGGGTAGCGAGTGGCATATTGAAGGTGCTGATGATGCAAAATCCGATGCAAAGGCCGCTGATGGTGGGGGTTGGATTTACTACGATAATAAGGTACGCTTCTAGCTCTGCATAAGCAGCCTCGTCATCTCCCCGTATTTTTTTTTTTTTTAAATCTGATTGGTACTTTTAGTGGAACGACGGTCGTCGCGGCCAGGATGGTTGGGATCGTTATACTCGCCGCAGGAAATGGTGTCGTGATGCCGAACTGGTCGAAATCACAGCCGATGGCGCCCCCGTGGAAGCCCCGTCCGGTTTAACACTGGCACTGGCGCAGGAAGTTGAAGAAAAGATGAACCAGGAACAAGGCAGGGCCGACAGTTCAACAGTCGATGCCGATTCCGAGAGTCTCGCCCCGTCCACCTTCTCCAAGACACGGAGACGACATTGGTTCGGGGGTTCGAAGAGTGTAAGCGACAAAATTAGCAGTACCTCCTCTGCACCACCAGCCTCCACCAATAATGTCTCCGAAGATCTTGGGAAAGTAACCTCTGCTACTAGTTTTAACTCGCCGGGGAAGAATGACACCAAGCCGATTAGCATCCCGTGCTCTCGAAGGCTCTCCGGTTTATCAGGAAGCGGCAGCCACGGTACCAGCATATGTCGAGAAGGCAGTATGCATGCAAGCGCCACGGCAAGCGACAGCTTCAGCATGAGGGAAAAGGAGATCTCCGATTCTCAGGATCACTTGGATCGGTGGGGTACACGAGCTACTGGAGGAACGGAGAGAGCCGAGAGGGAAATGGGATTAGGCGATGAAATCAACATGGGTTTGAGTTGAGTATTTTCGAACGAAAAAAATTGGAGTCGGTCAGCACTTTCAATACCCCCCGGGCATGGTTTTATTCTTACCGTTATGTTGAACTGAGCGTCGCAATTATTATTTTTGTTGCTGTCGTCGTTGTGTTGCAGAATGGTATGTAGTATTCGAACAAATATACCCCTCGAAGTTATCACGGTCTTTTGTAAACTCACACAATAGTATTTCTTTTTGATGAAATAATAATCTAGAATTTCAACCGTGTATCCACATAGTTATTGTCAGGATAAGCCAGCGTATGTATGTATGTATTTGTGTGTGTGTGTGTGTATTTATATATACATCCCCCACCAAATCCGGTAGATTGGGTCCCATCAAACGTATGGCTATACAATGATACACACATACATATGTGTATATGTATATGCATGTATGTTCAAAATATACAAGAAGAAGAAGAAAAAAAAAAAAAAAAATCAAGCGAGAATTAAATCCCACTGCAACTCCTCTAAAACATCTAACCAGTGCGACTTCCCCCCCCGCCAAAGGATCCCTAATAACTCCTTGACTCTTTGCACATTCCGAATCCCAAAGTTTACTTCCAGCGTCGTGAGAACCTGAAAGACGAGGCTCCTGTCGGACTGGGTTTCGCTTTCACAGCCCGCGATGAACAGCGGGAAGGTTAGCGCCGAGTACTCGCAATTATCGTCTATCGAGCAGGTGTGGATTCTTTGGAGGAGGCGCTGGACGGCTGCGGCTTTGGGGAGAGATATGAGGTTGTTCCAGGGTGGGCGGGTACTGGGGGAGGGCGGCTCGATGATGATGATAATGTCCTGGGTTATGCGGGCGAGGATGGAGTGAAGGTAGATATATGCGGCGTCGCGGAAGCAGTCTGCAACCATGTGGAGGCGGGAAATGGTTGCTGCGGTCATGCCTTTGGGGATTGTGTGCTTGGTTTCAGTGGTGGTCCAGTTGCGGAGGAGGGTGTCTCTGGATGTCATGGTTAGCTCTAGACTCTGGCCTTTCTCTCTCTCTCTCTCTCTCTCTCTCTCTGTGTGTGTGTGTGTGTGCGTGTGGGTGGGTGGGTGGGTGGGTGAGGAGGATGTGAGAATCTTCGTACATTGTGTTTATTTCTAGGCCCAAGGCGACAAAGTCAGAGCTTAGGAGTGGTAGGTCTGCGATTCGCGCGCAGAGCTTGAGTATCTCTTCTGTGTATCCGATGTAGATGTCTAATTTTCGGGTGCCGAGGCTTTCTACACTGGGGATGGAGTTCCCGATCTTTCTTCGGTTGGTTATTCTGGCTACGTTGTTTACGTAGACGAATCTGTGGTTGTGTTAGACTTGTTTCTAGGAAAGATGGAAGACGGGGTTCCGTACAGCCCACGGATAAACTCGGCGGTTTCTTGATCCAGGTTGTCGAATCCACCGCGGGAAATGACCAATCTTTCTAGAGCATCGAGGTGAACAGCCCATTGTTGGACACTTCCTCGTACGATCTCGTACTTGCAGAGAAGAGCAACGGTAAGGATCGCATCATCAGGGAAGGACCCGCCAGGAGCTTTTGCTAGGGTTGATCGCAAAGTCCGCATTGTGTCAATGTAGTAATTGGCGCCCTCATTTTCCGCGCACCAACTATAGTGTGCGCGATTAGAGAAGTGAATGGCTGATACGGCGCATAGTGCTTTCATTATCAGCGGCGATGAAAGTGCCCTAGGGATAATCAACGACCGTAAGGGGTTTTCATCGATTTCTAAATTAGCTAGAAGCTTTGATCCCCGTTCCATGTGGTACTGGAGATAATGTGTGTCGAGATCGGACAGGTGACTTATAATTCGAGATGGACTGGGAGATCCCACGACGAGCTGGTCACATGGAACCAGATCACGGACGTATCCGTCCACTTTGTCGGGGTCATCACGGTCTGGTAATGGGGAGGACTGGCTGACAAAGCTTTGCTCAGATGACGGAGGGGACAACACACAGCGATGTGTTGAAAATGCCTGTCCTAGGGACGACGGAAGCGAACTGACTGATAGCGTAGGCGACAGACTGGATCTGTGGCGCTTAGGCGCTTCTGTCTGCTTGAAAACCTGCGCGGCTGGACCCAGAGGCTTTGCCCATATTGAGCCATAGCCTTCGCAGCTTAGCCCTAGTCTGATACAGCTTTGACAGCTGTTGGGGCATATCAGTCGATGCTCTCGCGTCCGCAGCAAAAAGACAAGAGGGAGTAGTAAATACCTAGGTTTAGCCTCGTCGCATCGCTTCCGTCGTCTCTTACAAGTTAGACAGCCGGATCGAGTCCATTTAGCACCCTCTCTTCTGCACCTTTTTTTTACTGGTGGTTGGACATCATCACTTTGCTGAGGGATATCAGCCGCCGTATCAAGATGAACCATTATCCTTGTAGTGGAGATGGGCCCTGCATCATGTAATCTATACCTATAGATCGGAGGACTAGCACGAAATTAGAGAGGGGGGGATATCGAATAGACAACTCTAAAAACGGTTCCCCAGTCGATACCATTTCAGAAATGAAGCTATTGGGAATTATGTTTTTATTCAGAAGTCGATGCATCGGCCATGAGGGGGGAAGTTGGGGACACTAAACCATTTCGAGAATGAGATACGCTCTTCTCGGCTTCTACAGAACTGACTCAACAGACAACTTGTAAGTCTAGAGGACATCTACACCTTCCTCATAGTTAAGGTAAATAAGTAACTATCATATAGTTACCGCATTCAGAGCCTGAGAGTTTTCTATCATCATACAGGATCGGATTTACGATATCACGAACGCAATGAAAGGACCAATCTCTTTCAGGGATAGTTACCCAGACTGGGGACTGCTCTGTTCTTCTCCTTCTTCTTCTCCTTCTTCTTCTCCTTCTTCTTCTCCTTCTCCTTCTCCTTCTCCTTCTCCTTCTCCTTCTCCTTCTTCTTCTTCTTCTTAAGCACTGTCTGGCTGCGTTTCCCTCTTGTCCTTATAAACGTGACCCACTCGCAAAGAGAATGGATCTAGCCGGGACCTTCCCGATTAGGCAGGTCCATGCAGACGGACAGGCCGTAGAATCGTGGATACACTTCAACATCCTCAATTTCGCCTCTATCGCGCTCTAACTGCGGTGACACAGACACTCCCTCCAGGTGTCTATCATGCGAGGTTTACCTTGAGCTGACTACTTAAACCTCTGCCCGTCCCAGATATCCTTCTCTGCTTCAATTACTCCAGGAGTAACCCTTACTAACACTCCTTCTTTACCTGTATACCCAATATCTATACCCATTCCTCTCCCCCTTCCCCTTCTCCAATATACATACGCAATACAATGTCCCTATCATCCCAAGGGCGTACGCTGCCTCTGACAGCCAACCTTCACCCCTTTGACCCTCTCACCCCTCAAGAAATCCGTCTGGGACACCGAATTCTGAAATCTGCTTTCCCGGGTGTCGGGCTTCGAATTAACCGAATTGACCTCCAAGAGCCTCTCAAGAAGGAGGTTATCCCTTATATTGAAGCAGAACGACTAGGGAAGCCTCTTCCTCGAAAGCCCACCCGTCTTATTTACTCCTACTTCCACCGTCTAGACACGGGTGCGTGCTGCAAAGCCTTGTTCAATGCTGACAATGCATCTATTATCTACGTGAAGGAATTGCCCCTTGGAGTCCAGGTATGTTGACCCGCTTCATTACGTTTGCCGGATCGACCCAGCTCACAAAGACCATAGCCCCCAATTGATATCGACGAGATCACTGCCATTGAAGAGCTGTGCATGAAGCATCCCGCCGTCCTGGCAGAGATTGAGAAGCTGCAGCTCCCAGAAGGCGTGAGAGTCTGCAATGATCCATGGATGTATGGCTCTGATAGTCCCGATGAGACACGACGACTTTTCCAATGTTTCATGTACGTGGTGGCCGTAGACCACCCGCAAAACAACCACTACTCCACCCCCTTGAAGTTTTCTCCAGTTTTCCACGGCCATACCCACGAGTTAGTTCGCATGGACTACCTACCCGGTGGTGCAGATACTCAAACTACAGAGACCCAGCCTTGGAAGCCAGTTGAGACGATTCAATACGCTCATGACCTCCTAGGTGGTGACCTCCGAACCGATCTCAAGCCCTATATTGTCCAACAACCAGAAGGCCCCTCATTTTCGCTGGACGGAAATCAGGTGTCCTGGCAAAAGTGGCGATTCAGAGTGGGATTTAACAACCGTGAGGGCTTGGTTCTTCACAATCTTACGTATGACAACCGCAACGTCCTCTATCGACTTTCCATGTCTGAAATGACCGTCCCTTATGGAGGTGAGTGTGCCCATGACAGCCCCTACAGGCACGAGAACTAATCCCATATGCATGTAGATCCCCGCGCACCATATCACCGAAAGCAGGCCTTTGACGTTGGAGATGTTGGATTCGGTCTCAATGCCAACCAATTGACTTTGGGCTGTGACTGTCTCGGCCATATTAAGTATTTCGATGGCTATCGTTCTGACTCCAAGGGTCAGCCTGTCCTTTTAAAGAATGTTATCTGCATGCACGAACAAGATAATGGTATCCAACACAAGCACACCAATTACAGGTCTGGTGCAGCTACTGTTGTTCGCAATCGCCAGCTTGTGCTCCAAATGATCTGCACAGTTGCCAACTACGAGTACATCTTTGCGTACATCTTGGACCAGGCCGCAAATATTGAACTGGAAGTCCGTGCCACAGGTATTCTGTCAACTGTTCCATTCGATAATGAGAATGGAGAGACTGTCAAGTGGGGGACTAATGTTGGACCTGGCGTCATGGCTCCTTACCACCAACACATGTTCTCTCTGAGAATCGATCCTGCCATTGATGGTTTCAACAATACTGTCTATTATCAGGAAAGTGTTCCTCTTCCGGAGGACCACAGCAACCCGTATCTGGTTGGATACACTACTGAAGAAACAGTGATCAAGGAGTCTGGCACCGCAGAGACTGATATCCAGCGCCACCGTGTCTTCAAGATTCGCAACGACAATATCATTAACCCCATCACCTATAAGCCCGTAGCATACAAGCTTATGGCTGCACCCAGCCAGATGATCATCATGCCCAAGCACGCAATGGGCTACCAACGAGCCGAGTTCGCATCGAAGCCAATCTGGGTCACCAAGTATCAAGACGAAGAACTTTATGCCGCGGGCGAGTTCACAAATCAAAGCAAGCGCGCGGAAGGCGTGGAAACCTGGGTTAAGCGCAAGGATAACACAGAAAATGAGGACGTGGTTCTCTGGCACAGTAAGCCCCCCCTCTGCCAATTTATTTCAAGAGCTTCAAAAAAAAAAACCCAATCCGCTGACTTTTTCTTTCTTTTTCTTTTAGCTTTCGGTCTCACCCACAACCCTCGTGTCGAGGATTTCCCTGTTATGCCTATGGAGCGCATCAGCGTCATGCTCAAGCCCGATGGCTTCTTCACAAAGAACCCAGCCTTGGATGTGCCGCAGTCGTCGCAGAGCTTCAACAAGTCTACCCTGCATCCAGAACCATGCTGCAGTTCGATGAAGCCAAAGATGTAAACGAAACAGCAATTCGCTGAATATATACCGATGCTCTCTATCCGTTTTGTATAGATTGACTTCTTTTATGTCTGCGTGTATATAGAGAGAGTGTGTGTGTGTGTGTCAGAAATGATTAATGATAACTATCTTTACCAAAAAAATGTTTCCCTATTTCACCCTCAGAGAGATACATATATAATAATCTACCTCGATATCAAAATAGTACCTGGATATTACTGTATTACTCACTCCGTGAGTCCGTAGTATTGTCAACTGAAACTGAAACCTGCCCCCATCGACGATGAATACATCACATATCAAGGACAACTTGAAGCTGAATATCCCAATCCCCCTGTAGGGATTTTTAGTAGATGGTTAACCTTTAGAACAACAATCTCGAAACCAACATAACTATCCATTCATATCTATCTATCTATCTATCTATCTATCCATCCATCCATCCATCCATCCATCCATCCATCCCGCATTAACTAATGAATGCACTCAAATAAAGGACCGTAATCATAATATATCACATCATGGGTTTTATTTCTCATTAATACATGGCTTCTGATACTAGTACTGGTACACACACACACACACACAGCTTCCTTGTGCCCAGGGAACAAGGAAGAGAAGGGTATATAGTGAGATCAGATCAGAATCATCGTACAATAAAAAAAAAGATATCAAGGAAAGGAAAAGGAAAGGGAAAAAAAGGAATATCATAGATCTCGATCTCTTGCTCGCTCTCTCGCCGGACATTTGATATTTAATATCAAGCGTCTGGCGTCTGGCGTATCCCGTGATCTCTCCTCATTACCATTAAATCATGCCATCCTCTTTCTTGACTTTTCTTCTCGTCTCTGCTCTCCACTCTCCGTTCTTCGTTCTCCGTTACTCTGCTTCGTTCTCCATGTCTGACCGTTTGCCTTTGACGCTGGGTCATATGCTCAACTCGAATAAATCAAAGAAAGATGCGACTCAAGCTAGTGGAGAATTTTTGACAGCGCACTTTATGCCTTGGTAGGGACGTGGGCGCTAGGAACAACGCCATGACCAACGTTAGCGGCAGCAGCCTCACGGGCACCTTCAAGGCCGAACTGGGAGTTGATGCCCTCAACACGGTGGGTGGAGTTGATGTTCTTAACCAGCGTAATCTGCCAGCAGGTAGCACCACCCTGGCGAGAAGTGATGGTGGAGTAAGCAAGGAAGTATTCCCAGATCTAAAAAAAAAAAAAAAAAAAAAAAGGTCAGCTAGAACCAAAAAAAAAATATATCATGGAAGAAGAAATGCATACTCTGAACCATCTCTTTCCGTACTTAGCCTCGACCTTCTCATGGTTGGCCATCCAGTTGCGGTACCAGCGCCACAGAGTGGCAGAGTAGTGGACGCCAATGGTGTCAACTCCCTTAATTTCAAATCCAGCACCCTCAAGTCTGTCAACGACGAATCCAAGGGGGGTACTAGCGTCAGCTCCAGGGAAGATGTATTTGTTCATGAACAGACCCCAAATGAGATCCTCGTACTGCCAGGACTTGCGAAGACCAGCGATCTGCAGGAAGAAGACACCGTCATCGTCCAACATATCGTAAACCTGAGACAGGAAAGAAGAAAAGTGGCGAACACCGACGTGCTCAGCCATTTCAAGACAAGTAATCTTCTTGTAGCCACCCTCGATACGGGGAGCATCGCGGTAATCCGTGCACACAATGCGACTCTGGGACTCCTCAATACCGGCGTTGCGCAGACCCTTGTTACCCCAAGCAGTTTGATTGCGGCCAAGAGTAATACCGGTAACATGAGCGTCATAGTGAACCGAGGCGTACTTAGCCAGAGTACCCCAACCACAGCCGAGATCGAGGATGGTGTCACCAGGCTTAACACCAATCTTCTCACAAACCACAGCCAGCTTGTTATCCTGGAGCTCCTCAAGGGTCTCCTCCTTATTCACGTCGCTAATAATACCAGAAGTGTAGATCATACGGGGGCCCAAGAACCAAGCGTAGAAATCATCACCGCGGTCGTAGTGGTCACGGACCTGTTCCTCATCTACATCCTGAATTAGCCATTACCTTGGAGAATTCCGAGGGCAAAAGAGATAAATACCCTGAGAACGAGAGTGGACAAGTAGTTCGGGGAGGAAACCAAGCAGGAAATGCTTGTAGAGGCCCATTGTGAAGCGGAAGTTGGCCCAATCGTGGCGGAACTCGAGAGCCTCCAGAGCATCCATCTTAAAGTCAACTTCGCCATTGAAGTACTTCTCGTAGAAGACTTCCATGGGGATCTTGCTCTTTCCGCGGTAGGTAGCGCGATCATGTTCGCTGTGGAAGTTGAGGTAGTACTCAACGGGACGGCCAGCATACTTGGCCTTTTCGTTCTTGCGGGGGGAGATGCTAGAAGCCACAGACCAGAAGGCCATCAAAATGGGGATTGTAGTGAAGATAGCGAAGAAGATGGTAGTGTAGAAGCCGCCACCAACCTGGCGAGCGAGGTACCATGGGACCAGGAGCAGCAGGGAAAAGAGGAGGATGTTGGAGAAGCTGTCGCTACCGGCAGCATCTGCAGGAACGGGGGCATTTTTGATGGCAGGGTACTAGAAAAAAAAGGGGGGGGGGAGGAGGTCAGTATCCCAGATGAAAAGGTCAGAAATCAGCTGTTCCGAGAACAGCAATTGAACAGGAGAGAAAACCCACCGAGGTTGTTCGCACACCACAGGCATCTGCGGGAGTGGTACAGGAGGCGGGAGGAGTTTGGATAAACTCGAAGTCCTCGAGGGACTCGGGATGCACGGTGGTCATGGCCAAGGGAGACGAATTGGCGGATGTGAGGGGAGAAAGAATGAGAGAGGAAGAAAAGAAGAAGAGGAAGTGTCAAGGGGAGGAATTGACACGGGTGGGACGTGAGAGGAGGAGGAGGAAGGGGGGCGGAAGAGGAAGAGAAGAAGAGGAAGCTGGCGAGAGGAGGTGTTGCTTAGATATTAACGAGCACTCTGGGTCACTACGGGTTTATTTATTTATTTACAATATTATTCTCTATTATTCCTGTTGTTATTATTCCTTTCCTTCCCTCTGGCGATAGTTATCTGTTATTATTCACCCAGCATTTGACAAGTGTTCCCAGTTCCATCTGGCTCAACAAGTGTGGTTCCCAAGGGACGAGACGGGTCCCATTCGAGTTAGGAATGATGATTATTATTATTAGTTAGTTAGTTGGTTATAGCGGTGAGAACACACAATGAACACCTCTTCCATCAATGGCTTAGTTACCCGGGGGGGGGGGGAGGAGGTTTTTTTCCCAGCACCTAATCGCTATACAGATGATCAAGTACTCATTCTTGAGTAGATGAGATGGATGACCCTTCTACCTACCTTATTGGAGTAGTTTAATGTCTCTCTCTATATATGTCCCACCATCCGACGAACTCCCTCCTTGGGTCCCGAAGGAAGAACGCTGGACCTCCCAATGGTTCCGGATGTGTCTGGAACACTCCGATCGGCGTGTCCCACTCTCTCCCCTGTTATGTATAACAAGTAGGTATATATCATCGATGGGATATAGGATATTTTTTTTTATTCATGTCATTGCCCTAAACTCCAGTAACAGTGGTCCTTAAATAGTGTATCAATGTGGAAATAATGGTCCTTCCTGCCTCTGATCCAGACCCCCAACAATCCATAATAAAATACAAGTAGCAGACGCCCCCCCGCCCCATACCGGTAGTAAGCCGTAGTAGTAGTAGTAATTCATTGATGGCCATTGCTTGATCCACGCCCCCTCCCCTTTCTTTAATTAACCCTTCAGCGGGAAGGTGGCAGGCAACCGGAAAAATAAAATAAAATAAAATAAATATCAAGGGTGCAAAACATCGTAGTCGTGATCGGGGCTCTCAAGCCAGCTTGCATCATTTGAAAATTTAAATTTCACAGTTTCCTTGTGCTTACAAGGTTAGCTGGAAGTTGAGGGTCTCTTCATCTTCTTCAAATGGAGGAAACAGCTCTTCAGCTGGTTGGCTCACTTCCACATCCGAAGAAGTTCCGTAGGGCTGCAGGTAGGTCTCTGGAGATAAAATTCTTTGGGCGGCTGGCGGCTGGGCATGGGTCTTGTTCTTGCCTTGCAGCCGAGACGACACTTCACGACCCTTGGTGTACCCCAGGGTCGTTCGGGAGCTTGCAGTAGCTGCGGCATGGCGCATGGCGGAGGGATTGATAGGGACTCGAGGTTTCTTCGAAGGGAATAATGACGAGGCAACTCTCACCTTCGACTTCACAAGAGCTGCCCGGGGTTGTGAGATGGAACGTTCAGTGCTTGAAAGAGCGGTAGCGGCATCCCGGGCACGAATGGTGGAAATCCCAGTATGATATCTGGTTTTACCCGCAGGAATCCTGGGACGGCGTGCTTCAAGACGGTGCTGCGACATGCCTGTCCTACGACACTGATCACTATCACCACTTTCGTCAAATCCCATGCCCTCGACCTGCTTCAGGATCATTTCGTCCACCATTTTGTCGTACGCGACCGAATCTTGTTGGAATTTGCGCTCCCGCTTTGTGAGTCCATCGCTTCCAATTTCATTATCACCGTAGACGCTTTCCAAGCCCAGTGCTAAGTTCTTTGGCTGAAACTGAGGGAATGAGGTGTCATATGTGATGTCGTCAGGGTAATCTGGGAGGTCTTTGGCGCGTTAGACATGGCGAGCCTCTGCTAGAACGGAGACTAGTCCAAGAGCTTACCTTTGGCCTTGGGAGGCATGTACTCGATGTCGGGGACATTATCCTGCGGAGGCCGAACCTGCACCTCTCGCTGCACCTGCGACTGCGGCTGCTCTACAAAGGGAGAGAACTTTTTGACCCTCTGCGTTGAAGCTTTCTTGACCGTCTTTATCGTTCCTGCGGGGACTGCGGGGGTCTGTAAACCTCTAGCTTTGGCATTGGTCGTTTTCATACCCAGGGGGGCACGGTTGCGAGTATCTCCTATGAGCTTCTGTCAGCTCTCAAACTTTCTAATCGAATATCCCCGGTAAACCGCTGCGGTGCGTACCCATAGGAGTAATAAAGGCATCTTTGGCGGATGGTTTGGTGTTTTCGTTCTGCTTCCCAAAGGTTTTCACAGTTTTCTTTCCAAATGCCAAGGGGTCGTTTTCATCCTTTAATGGCACTTTGAAGGGCGTCTTCGGGGCTCGGGCTCCTGGCGTTTTGGGCTGTAGCTGCTTGCCACCGTGATTCAAAGGCTTCGATGCAGCGACGGTCTGGTGGCTATGCACCAGATTTTCCTGGTCTCGGAGGGCCAGCATCGTGGCGGGAGGGGTACAGTACGGGTCATCCAAGGGTTGACAAAGGTTCGACAGCGGATATTTGTAGGTATACGATTCGAGAACTGGAAATAAAACAGGAGGGTGAAGACTGGGTTTCTGATGCGAGTCAAGTCGGCGATAGAGGGTTCTAGATGCAGCTCCTGTTACCTTGCGGTTGTTTTCTTTTTTACCGTGGTTGCCCGTGGAGACGGCAAGACCCGTTGGAACACGTCGGAAGCCATCCTTGGGTGTACCTAGGTTGTGGCATTAATCAGGGGGCGTGGTGGCAGTAAGTCCTCGACGGTTGGCAGGTGCTGACCGCCAGGTAAGGCACTACCATTAATTTGGACTTAGGCTCTCCTCCACTTCTCCTTCCTCCCCCCCCCCCCATTTCATTAATCTCGTTGAACATACTCACTTTCTATTTTCTCATCCGGTTTATCGCTGAGCGAAAGCCTTTTTGTCCTATCTGATTCTCGTTTTCTCCCTTTCGTCTATACATATTTCTTCGCTGTTACCTTTTCAAGATGGATCGGATTAAGGAGGTGAGCCCTCTCCCCCTGCTGTTGGTGGGGTAGCTTGAAAGCTATCTCAAAGTCCTGCACATGCACCACCACCTTTTTTTCGTGAGCCCTTGCTTCATCGGTTGGGTGATGGTCTCATGAAGATGCAAAGGACAGATTTCCGGAATAAGGAAAATCAAAATAAACCCGACCCCAAGTATACACCCCTCTTCCAAGCTAACTAGGATCGTCTAGAAAATGTCCGCCCTCCGCATCGAGGCTGATGAGGCCCAGGAGAAGGTTGAGGAACTTAAGGGCACCGTGAAGAAGCTGGAGCAGGAGAACTTGGCAAAGGAACAGGAAATCACATCTCTTACCCACCGCAACCAACTCCTTGAGGGTGAGGTGGAGAAACTGGAGACTTCCCTGAAGGAGGCCAAGGATGCCGCCAGTCAGAGTGCTCAGCACGATACCCAGAATGAAGCTCTCCAGAGGCGTATGCAGTTGCTAGAAGAGGAGGCTGAGGATGCCGACCGGAATCTGCGGGAGACAAACGAGAAGTATATTATCCCAAACCTTCCCCCCTTTCCGCACCGGAATGGCTGGAATACTAACTTTCGGCTTCTTAAACAGGCTGCGTCAAACAGACGTCAAGGCTGGTCACTACGAACGCAAGGTGCAGGCTCTCGAATCAGCTCGTGACGAGTGGGAGAGCAAGTACGAGGAGATGGCAAAGAAGTACGCAGAGCTGCAGAAGGAGCTCCACGACCTCGAGGTCTCGATCAGCAATGTTTAGGCGTGAGACTAGGCACATGCGTAGAGTCATGGAAAGGTTGGATTCGGTCTTTTTTAAAAGAGTGCTACAGTTTTCACACCACACCACCTATCCTTTTATATTACCTCTGTCTGCAGGAGATAGATCTAGTAGGATCTCTGCCTCTTGTTATGCAGCTGTTTTATACTTTTCATACATCTGTCTTTTTATCCACCCGCGTGGCTTATTACCCCCCTAATTCCAAGTTAACATATAGAAATTTTCCAGCGCTACATAGTATTATAAAACGGGGTATTCTATTGCTCTGTGTTTTCAACTGAACGCATGCATGATCAATCCATTTAACGCCGGAATAAAACAAAAAAAAAAAAAAAAACTCTATCATCACGTTTCATCGTTCTCGTCGGGCCTGAGCCTTTCTGCGGTTGGACTGCCGTTCCTTCAGTCGGGTGATCTTGCGTTCCTCCTTGCTCTCGTATCTGAACTTCTTCTTCCTTTTGGTTTTGCTATCCGACGACTTCTTCTTGTTCTTTTCCGTTTGTTTCTTCGACTGGTCGCTTTTTTCGGTGGGGTCAGGCTGTTTTGCCGCCTTTTCGTCCGAGGTATCATCGTCTGACTGCAGCAAACTTTCTTTGGAGGGATCCATTTCCTCGACAGTCACAGTAGTGTATTTATCTTCGTCAATGTATTCGGCTTCGTAGTCTACCGCAGGAGGCTCCGGGATTCCACTCCACTCTTCTTCTTCTTCTTCTTCGTTATCCTCATCACTTGGGTTCGCATGTTCGTCACCACTTTCGTTCTCTTCTTGCATCCTTTTGAGTTGTTTACGATGCTCTTCGAGAGCAAGCTGAAGCTCCGCAGATCTTTCTTCTCGGATCTAAAGAATTGACGGGGTTAGCCAGAGAAGTCACTCTCAGAGTAACCTTTAGATCCACAGATGTAGCATACCTTTCTCCGATCCTCTCTCTTCGCTTCCCGAGCTTTATTCTCTGCAATTTCTTGCGCTTGACGTACTCGCTGTTGCTTTCGTCTGCGAAACCCAGTCAAAAATTGGTGCCGGGCTGTTGTGTCGAAATTGATCTCGTCAACGCGAGGAGCCAACTTTCTTTTTTTAAATTGGGGCCCCATGGTTCAAATACTTGCAGTAAATATGTAAAACAAGAGAAATGGACAGTATTTTGGGGAAAGTTAGGAGTGTTCGTGGAGGAATCCTTAAAATTGTAAATTGATAAAAAAAAAAAAAAAAAAAAAAAAAAAAACTAGTTGGATGCGAAGCTTGCGCCTTTAGTCTTGCCGGCAGTGGCTCGACCGCCCTCCAAGCCCGTCCAATCCACCAGCCTGGCTCCAAACATCATTCCTTCCGCGGATATCACAGCTTGTCGCAAGCACCATCAATCTTCACGATGCGTTTAAGTAGCTTTTCCCTGCTGGCTCTGGGGGCAGTGTCAACCCATGCTTTCCAAGATACCTCCCCCTTTTTCCTCGCCTCAACCTCAGAGTATGTGTCGCTGCCGTTGCTTTAAGTTGCTTTACGAACAGATGAGCTCACAAAGCTTCCCTAGGATCGCATCTACCTCAGCACAACTGAAATCTGTGACCTCCCTGCTAGACGACCTTTCCACGAAATTCAACGCCTGTCCCTCAGACTACTATGTTATTGCTTCCCAGCCCGGAGTGCACAGCACCGACTTCGCTACCCGTAAGGCGGCACCCCGCCTCGCGGCGAAGATGACCGGCCAGGATAAGAGCATCCAGTCGACAATGGTGGTAAACGAAGTCGCCGGTGTGCTGGAAGTTAAGCAACTTCAACAAATTCTCGAGAAAGAGTGTGGTGTTCAGTCTACGGTCATTGATGCTTCTTGTACGTCGTTCCCGATGTCAATCTGGATTCTAAACATTCTATTGGCTTTCTGGATTAACATAATTGATTAGCTGGATCGTATCCAACCGAATTTGGCACCGGGCCTCGTGTTATTGTTGTTGATTTTCCCTCTCTTCCCCTTGGATCAGGGAGACAGCACCAACTCTCCGACAACGGTTTGTTTTTCTGCCGCGAAATACTCGGTCTAGAACGAGTGGCTGATAACATATCTAGATGGGCTTCTTTCTGACATTATCGGACGTCTTCCGTCGAAGAGATACACCATTCTTTATGTCACAACACCAAAGGAATTTGATGAGAACGATTCCAATGTCTATCAGTCCGAAACTTACGATTACCAAGACTCTCTTCACATGGATCTGAAGCGTGACTTTTCCGTCCATTCCCGCCGTGAGGATACTACCTCCAACAAGTCCCTTTTCCAAGAGTACCAATATTTCACTCCAGGTTCGTTTTCTTCGCGCCCTCTGAGACTTCGCCAAAACTAGTGCCCTCTCTAACCAATTGTAGGACTTTTCATGGGCCTTATTGCCACCTTCTTCTTCTTTGCCATTCTGTATGTTGCTTTTAGTGCCCTCACGAGTCTGCAAGTTCCCTATGCGGCCTTTGAAAAAGATACCTCGTCCAGTACCCTAAAGAAGCTGCAGTGATAGTATTTACTACTTTCTCAATTGTTGGAAATATGTTCTTTTGATGCTCTTCGTTTCATTATACCATATATCATAAATCTATCGCGAGCAGAGACCCGGCGAAGCTTTTGGAATTCAGCATCGGATTTAGGTATTGTACGTTTAAGGCAGAGAAATGCACAGTTCGAAAGGGATCAGAAGTCACAAGTAGCTCACAATGAACCTCCTTGGGTGTACATTTCTTCCCCCCCCAAAAGATATTCCCATACTGATGCTTATAATTTGGATGTACTGTAGACGGGGAAAGATAAGACTGTGCTAAATATAAATACAATCACGTGATCATGGACGGCCTTTGGCGCCTGAGGCAGGCAGTCCCTGATCTCGGACCACATGATGGACTCAGGCTTTTGCTGCTGATCTCTGCGTCGCCGTTCTTTTCGCCTCGCCTTGAATCTCACCCCTTCTTTGCCATTTAGCGCCTGCTTGACGCTTCATATGCGCGTGAATTCAATGCATTCTTTGATATAGCTCGCCACTGTCTCGCTCCATACGATCGTTGTCTCCCTTCGCACTCTGTTGACCTAGTGTTTTGGGTGGAGACTCGCTCGGATCCACGCCCACTTGCTGGCCTGGGGGCACCCACCCCTCGATACCAACACCGATCTCTCAGCGATCTCTCATATACGTTTCAATTTTGTCGTCGATTCGACTACCCTTCGTTTTCCTTGATCCCTTTGCTCCGAGTCGCGGAACCGATGTGGTAAATCAGGTCTCCCGGGTTTCGAATTAGGAGGTCTTCTTGGGCACAAGACGTCGCCCATCTTCAATCCTTGTCTCCCCTGGCAACTCCTTCATATATCCACCGACCACGATGCTTTTTGTCTTAGGGGGCCGTTCAACGGCCCGTCGCCCTCACCTTGCGCTCTTTTTGTTCCTGCTCGTCGCTATACTGGCACAGATAGCCTTTGCCGCAGACGAGTCGACATCCTCAACGACAACGACAACCTCAACTGAGTCGACATCGTCAACAACAACAACTTCTACTACTACTACTTCTACTACCACTACTACTTCTTCTTCTTCTTCTTCTTCTACGTCATCAACTACCAGTAGTACAAGCTCAACCACAACGACCGCAGCTAATGACTACCCGGTCGTCACACCCCCGCCGACGGACGACGCCCCGTACATGCAAAAGTCCGCCGCACCAGAGGGAACCCTCTTTATCGCCGTTGGAGCAGTCCTAGGCGCAATGGGCCTGTCCGTCCTCGCATGGCGCGCTCTCGTCGCATGGTCCGTCAATCGCTCCGTCCGCCGAGCAGCCATGATGATGCACTCTTCCGAAAACAAGGGCCTGATCCGCACCAAGAAGAAGAGGTCCAGAGGATCCCGCTCCCACAGCCACGGCCACGGAGCCCAAAATTCCGTGTCTCTCGGAAAAATCAGCGGAAACCGTAACAGCAGCTACAGGGACAGCCGCGCATCCAAAGTCCCTACCTCCGGTAGCGGCCTGTTCTTCTCCCCCACCGCGGGAGTACACAGCAATAGCAACAGAGCCTCTAACTATCTCCCCGCGGGCTACTACGCCGCAGGCAGCGCCGCCGCAGGGCTCGCCCAGAACGTCGGGTTATCACCCGACCATGTCCCCGGTCTTGGGCCGCAAGCACGCGGTTACACACGTACAGGTTCTGGCCCTACCCCGCCTGCCACACCCATGTCCCCCCCATCTGGGATGCACGACGCACCCCAGCAAAACAACCACAGCAGCAGCAACCTAAGGCAATCCTACGCAGCGAACTCAACAAGCAGTCTAAACCTCGCTTCTCCCCCTCAAGGACGAACGCCAAGTGCCTACCTAGAAGATCTATTCGAGAACCATCCACCTCATTCTCCGAATGCGCCTCACTAAATTCTCTTACATGCGGAAACGAAAAAAAAAAAACCCCTCCCTTTTCCTTGACTATATCTACTTAATTACCCTTGTTTTTTTTTTCTTGGTTTCTCTTGTCATCTGGTCGTCTCGGTGTTGCATACTTTCTTTCTTTCCATCTATCCCATTCATTCACCTATTCTTGCATATTTTTTTTTTTTTTCTCCTTTCTTCTCTTCACTATATTTTGCCATTATCATGTCCATATACAATCGTGTATAGCCTTCCGAATATAGGTAATATAAATGCTTCCTTAATTGGTCCTTAGGTAGTATACTAGTACTACTACTACTACTACTACTACACACTCTATAATCTGTGCATAACATACATATAGAGAGAGAGAGAGATCGATACACAGACCCATCCATCCCTCGTCACCCATTAATGTAGCTTTTCCATCTGTACCGTACCGTACGTATTTAAGACCCTAACGGTGTATACAGATAAGCATCTACGGAGTATTGAATTAGGGTAGGTAGCTTTCCTTCAATTCAGTCTCGATTTCACCCTGCCAATTACAGTGTGTGTGTGTATATATATATATATATATAAGCTCTATAGCTCTATTGCCCGTATAATTCATCCCTCACCCTGCAACCACAGGATGCATGGGAAGGGTGTAATGAAAATCAATAGGAAACATCCATATTGTCGAATCCGAGAAGTAGTAGTAGTAGTAGTAGTAGTAGTAGTAGGATGCCATCAAAATAAACGCATGTTCCACGGGTTGGAAGAGAGAGGGAAAAAGAAAAAACCGAATGAGAGCCGTGTTCTGCATGCTATGTAGCAATGTATGAAATGAAGAAATGAACGCTCAATCAACGCGCTTTCCCATATGATACAAACCGAACCAAATCAAAACACAAGAAATCCAATAAGAATAAATAATCCAGCACATCCAAGTCGAGTTCTGGGAGCGAGTTCGCTTGACTTGGGAGCGAGAAAGAAGAAAATAACGGGTTCCTAAGAGACGGGGAACACAAGAAAGAAGAAGAAGAAGAAGAAAAAGATAATTCTGCTCCAATTAGGTGAGAAAGTGGCAAGAAAAAGAGCATGGCGTGGCGAATGAGTTCTGGCTACAAGTGAATACGAGAGGGTCATGTCATCTATGTAAGATTGCGATTCGGCTTTGTTGTTTCTTTAATCTTCGTCCAGCTTGCCGTTGATTTCTCCAAGAAGGATGTCGTTAGGAGCTGGTCCGTGCTTGTTCCGGACTATCATAATGGAAAGGATCATTAGCATATGTACCCTAAAAGCGGACCTCGACCACTTACTCCATTCGGTCTCAACTCGAAGAAAAGTCCACATCCATCGCCGGCCGACCTCGAGGAACATAAGGATGAAAAGCCCAACTTCCGAGTCGGTAAGCCAGGTGAGTCCTGGCACGAATCTTGAAGCCCAAGAAAAGCGAAGGGCAAAGTCGATGGAAATTGCGAGGTAGTACTGTCGATCAGTGAAACAGCGGTTGCGTCGTAATCCAAACGGGTATTCGTTGTCATTTCGCGATTCGGTAAATAGGGTCAAGTCCCAATCCTTGGTGATATCCCAGTACAAGGAGTAGGAGGAGTTAAGAAAGGAGAAGAAGTATCTGTTGAATGAGTTACCAACCATGGAGACTTCCTGCTCATCATCTAAGATACTTACAGTAGTCGTGAGAGAAACACCTCACTGATGTCATAGAAGAGAAATGGGCTATAGTTCCTTAATTTAGCCGAGAGAATGATGACCGGAAATGCGCTTGCGTATTTCAAAGCGTTGGCCAAATGCTGACCACCCTTATTATCATTCTTAAACCCGCTTCGGCGCACACGCAAGTACTCGATCAAACACTGCCTCAGTCGAATAGCACTGGGAATGGCGATTATTAGGGGGGCCATATAATCCGACCCGCAATTTCGAGTTGGCTTCGATGTGCTAGATACCTCCGGGGTAAAGAACATGCAAAATGTTATCGCAAGGTCTGCGAGGACCTTCGCATAGCTGGTTAGAGCATCCGCGAGGAGAATATCTCCGAATTTGCCATCCTGTGCTTCCGCCAGCCCACCAATAATGATCCGGCGAAGTGTGACGAGAAATCGATGTCGTCCGGAGCGCGAGAGCCGGTTGAATGGGAGAATCAAGAGGACGAAGAAAAGGAAGAGGTATGACTGCGGGATGAAGTCCACCGACTCGACCCATTCCCTAGACCCATGGGTAACCGGCCAAAATATGAGGAGGGAGAGCAACAAAGGGATCGACAGGAGGGTGGCTAAATGGTATGCGGAGGTATGGTGCGGTCGTTGATTCGGAGACCGATCGGGATATCGGATTAGCCTTGGGAGGTTCTGAAGAAAGTCAGTGACTGTACACTGAGAGTGGGAGAGAGTGAAGAGGGAGGGCTCAACACACAATATTGAACTTGTGGAGATATTGAAGATTGGCACCCCAACCCCAGAATCCTAATACACAGAGTTAACAACAGTGGCTTAAAGGCTTAAAAAGTGCTATAGAATGCAAGCAACGGAATTGCTAACCTGCCACCAAGATCACCGCCACACGATAGGGAAAAGGAAGAAAGAGACTGAAGCCATCCAGTTGAGCATGCTGATCAGGCCCCATATTCCATTGAAGTAGCGGCGCCGGGCCTCCAGACGAGAAGATGAAAAAGAAGATGTAGAATCGAAGAAGGCGACGAAGTAGCTTCTGGGGTAGGAAAAAAGGAGACAAGAAGCAGTATTCACCAAGCAAAAGAGCGACTAGGGGTGAGTCTGGCCAGCAAAAAAGATTAAAACGATCATGGCCTGCAGACGTCTAGAGCGCGAAAGAAGCTCCGCGACGCTTGCGGGCCATCAATTCCGCGCGGCTTTTTCGACAAAGGACGCGCTTGTCCGTTTGCGGGTTAGCGCCGCCATGGGGGTTGCGGTTGCCATTTTGATCCCCAGTCGGTGCACGTGATATCAGTCACGTGAAAGCTACCGAGGCATTCCTTTGCCCGGGCCCGACGCTTTTCTGGGGAAATCGTGTGGATGGGGAAGACATCCCCAGCATAGTCGCCTTTGTCTCAAACAATTCATACTAGACTTGCTCATATCATTCCTTTCATTCCTCCCTCTCCTCTCGTGATTATTTCTCACAATGGCCGATGAAGACCTCTCCCTCACAGCTCCAACCCCTCCGGCAACTCCCTCGGCCCATTTCTACCCTTTCGCAACATCTCCAGATATCATCCGCTCCCACGAGAAGGATGCCTTCCTCACAGCCGGTCTGGTTAGCCAAGCACAGTCTATAATTCGGGCTCTTCGCGGTGCCCGGTTCGCCCATACGCATTCAGAATCCATCAAAAACCTGACCGAGCTCCTTTACTTTTCACTCACCACGCTGATCGGGAACCGAACCCTCGGGGAGGAGTATTGCGACCTCGTTCAGCTTGAGGATGATACACTTCAGCTTCCATCACTGTCCAGGCGAGTAGGATATATTCTAAGCATGATTCTTGTACCATGGACGCTACAGCGTATCCTCCCGGCCTTTCGACAACGTCTTCGCATGAAGCTGGAACGAAGCATTGTCCGGTTGCAATTAAAGGCGCAGCAAACAAAAGAGACACTGGAATTCTCACCAAAGAAGAACGCTTCAAAGAAACCATCACTTTTTTCAAAACTCCGCATTCAGAAATATATTCTAGAACACCTTGACTCGATTACATCGCTGTCTCCTATCTATGCTCTCAGCATCACAACTTTCTATTTTACGGGCTCATATTATCATCTGTCAAAGCGATTCTGGGGTCTTCGTTACGTCTTTACCAAGAGGTTAGAGGAGAACCAGCAACGAGTGGGATACGAGGTCTTGGGAGTTCTACTTGTCCTGCAAATCGCAGTACAGAGTATACTTCACATTCGGAAGGTTACCGCTAGTCTACAGCAAGAGGACCAAGGCATTCAATCGGAGGTGACTGGAAGCGCTGGTCAGGACGATACGTTAGTTCGATCGATTGAAAACCCCTCTTCGCTTCCTCTCCTACCCGCCTCGAGTGCTCGGTATGATCTTTCGGAGAACCCGCAAGCAATCCCTTGGATTCCAGCAGGACAACAAAGCAAATGCACGCTTTGTCTGGAATCTTTCAAGGACCCAAGTGTCACCACATGTGGTCATGTATTTTGCTGGACCTGTGTTCGCGACTGGGTCCGCGAGAAGCCAGAATGCCCTCTTTGTCGACAGGAAGTTTTGGCATCGAAAGTCCTGCCTTTACGAGGCTAGTCTTGATAACGTGCCTGGGGATCCATCCATGCATTCTTGTACAAACATTACAAATATCTACTTTATACCTTACTCTTAATTTATCTCCGTGGCTTTGCCCTCAGCAACGACATAGATATGCGCACCGACGATCTCCGTAGAAACACCCATCCACATCGGCGAACCACATTCGCTTCTCTCCGTTATCCAGAGACACCCGTGTGGAACAAGTCCCTGGCCAGGAATGGACCTAGGTACACATCTGTAGCTTGAATCCCACTGTCTAGGAGTTCCTCCTTCGTTCTAATATGATGGGACCTAGGATCAACGCTAGAGGCCTCCAAAATGAACCCGCATCACGGCAGGGATGGGATGTTCGGGGCGTCGCCTCCATTCGTTGTTTCAAATGGTGTATACTTGGTCCTTGTCGAATTGATTCATAGCTATCCAACTGTACGACTCGGCGAGTCCTAGAAATTCGACCTGGAAAGTTGTTACATCCGTTGATGTTGTATTTCATGAAATTGCGAACCAGTTTTGTTGGGACCATCTATCTTTACGAATTCTTTAAGCGAGTGAAGCGTAGTCCTATCGGGGGTTTTACTGATGAGAACATAATATCCTTTTTCATTCATATCAATTTTGTCCATCTCAGAGCTCATCGCAAATGAAATGCTGGAAGTGATCAGGCTTAGGTAACAATATCAATGCTGAGCTAGCGAGGTATAGAAACACCGTATTTTATCAGGTTAAAACCTATGAAAAGTCTAGGGATTCGAGCAATTGCATCTAACCCTGTAAACAGTCCAGCTACATAGATCCTGCATAGTTCAGACGAAAGGTAGTCCGATGGAATCTGGCAAGTGGACGGATTTTCATGGTGGTTTAATTCTTTGAGAAAGGATGAAAAAGTACCGAGCATCAGACCGTACTACTGCAGAAGCGGAAACTCCGGGGTAACAATCACATTCTGTGCGTCGACAATGTACGCCGAGGCGTACTGGTCTTGGAAGACTATCCTCCAGAGTTTAGTACCGGGAATCGCTGTGGAGAACCTGTCAGCTATAATATTAGAAGAAATGTTTCACAGGACCATACAGTATTTCTGTGGAGGAGTGTGGCGAAAATCCAAGATTAGCCAGTCTCTGATGTAGCCTTGAGTTATCCAAGGATAATATGCGCCTCCGGGTCGAAATCGATTGCAATGATCGCTTAAGCGATCTCCGTCTCTCAAAACTTCGATCCCCCAACGTGGCTCAACAACCCGGAAGTCAATGCGACCATCCCCGGCACGAGACCATTCAGAAGAAAGTCCGACCCCATATCCTACGATATCGAAGAAGCAACGATATAATTCGTCTTGAAATTGTGCCTCCGGTGGCCGACGGAATCGGGAAGGGGCGAGCTCAATTTCCACGCTAGATCCTAGGTTCTTCTGTGAAAACTTTCTAATTATGGCTTGGCAGAGAGCGGTAATCGACGGGAACTGTTCAAAAGGGAACGGACGGGGTTGGAATGTGTATAGAAAAAGCTCAGCGAACCTAGCACTATGTGAGCAATATCCACTACGAGAGACGAATGAGTCGTACTTCTCATGCAGTCTGGAAGGGAAGAAACAAATCATTTCAGGTTGTTCTATAGCATACGATTTTGTTTGGTCCGAGTGTAGCCATCCTAATTCGTAGCAACGTTTGACTCCTTCATCGTTGAGATCGCAAGGAATTGTGCCGCTCTTGAGACAACGACGCAACGTAGTAACCACCGGCATTGTGAGAACATTCGGGGCGGGGAAGGACCTAAACACCGGGTATGATTCTAGACTGCGAAAAACCTGTGCGTCATCTTCAAGAGACTTCGTCATGAGATATTTCGAGACGCTTGAGATAGTACCGTGTTTTAAGTCGTACCTGTTGGCCTACTAAATTAGGTTCTGGGGCCTGGTCCACATCACAGTGAAGGCTTACTTCGTAGGCATACGCCACCAACGCATTAACAGCGCCAGGGTGTCCGTTTGTGATCGTGTAAAGGTATTCACGGGCATCAGCATCCATGATAAACCCAACGGACGGTCGTGCACAAATCCTATCTACGGCGTCGTTGAATTCGGCTTCATCATAGAATAAACAGACATCAGGAGATCCTGGCAGACGTGATCGAGTGATACCGACCCGCTGTGCGGGGCCTAGGTGAACGGGGGTTACTCTGGATGAGTACTGATATGGCGGTGCTCCAGTGGTCGGGCTGCCGTATGACGCAAAAAGACAAAATCTAGGTCCAGTCAAACAGCCATGGCGCGTCTTGATGACGCCCAACCAGAATGCGGAGTCTCCATAGGAAGACTGAGCTTCATCGAGTATGAAGATAAAATTGGACTCCCAAAAATTCACCTCTGCATGCTGATATCCATTAGCCGCACAGCATTGTTGTAGATAACTGGCAGGATTAGCAATATTATCATCCCAGTTATGGATGAAAACAACAGGTTCATCGCATTCTCTGTAGTGTTTGACTAAGAGTCCCGCCAATGTCGACTTGCCAGATGAGGGCGTCCCCCGGATATGGAGGATACGCTTCTCGTCAAGTAATGCGGCTAGCTTCCTGACTGTGTTGATGCGCGGGCATACTTCCGGATGTATGACTCTGATATTATACGATGGAGGGTGTGCTGCTGCTTATAATTAGTAAAAGAAAAATCAAATTTTTGGAGAAAAGAGGGATAGATGCTCTACAGTATGCCTTGTGTAATGAGAGAAAGTGACCACATTCATCGCAAGTATCGTGCTGGGAGAGGCTCTGAGCCGCGCCTACGACCGAGCCGCTCGCACAATCGCAAAAACGAGCCGAAGCTTTATAGTAAAACTGGCACCCGCCCATTTCGACTCGTACGACAGCGAGATTTGAGCCGGGGAGGGTTTCGGACGGCGTTGCGAGGTTGATAGGCGAATCTGCAGTGGGGATCCATTCGGGGAAAACCTTCGAGGCCATTTTGGAGACAGAGATTAGAGACTTAATCACAACCGGAAAGTTCGATCGGCCCTCAACGTAACCCAACTCGACTCGGCAGGTCAGATAAGTCAAATCAGGAAGTAGCCATTCCAGTCACCTTACCTGCAGGTATCGACTAGTTACTGTTCACCCCACTGAAGTTGCTTGTAAAGGGTTGACTCGGCTTCGATAGCATGACATATAGCATTACATAGTTCGGGAAAGACTCCGGAACTCTGCAACTGCTGGTAAACGACGCTCCGTCGTCCAAAAGAGTTCAGACGTTTCAGGCGGATTCTGAATCCGGATCAGAATCGACAGTCACTTAGCATAGTTACTGAGGACACAAGAGGAGATACTCGTCGAAAAGCTCGGTTTGTTTTGTTTCCCAGAGTAGTGCTGTGGAGGTGAGGAGAAGAGATTGGCTCCAAGATTCCAGTAAGGCGGGTTGATAACGTAATCGAGCGAGCACAGATCCCACCATAATTCAACGGCAGCATCTTCTGCCCAGGCTCGTTTAATCTCATCTGGTGTAAACACTGCATGGGGGCAGGATGGTGGCATAATACTAGAAAGGCTAACTGAGGAAATCCCAAAGTAGCTCGCGACTTACAATAAATCGCCCGCTCGCAACTCTACCTTAGCCCAGCCTCCATCGTATCCCCCAACATGGCAAGAACCAACCAGGGCGAGTAACCGAATTGAATTTGAATCAATCTTTCATGGGAAGTAAATAATCTTCCGACCACGTATAACATATAAGTAAGTTAAACACGCTGCTGTATCAATATGGATGGGAGATATAGCATTTGCTGTGCTCCTTGTAAGGGTTATGCCAAGTAGAGTTAGCTTTGCCTATCGTGGTTTCACCATGGTGTAAAGTCCGGGCGAGCAAGTCAGTGTTAATGAAGGAAGTGGGCAACAGTGTCTAATCCTGTTCTCAATATCAAGGCAATTTAAAGCTGTTCGAGAATCCCGCGGCTGTATCCAGTGTTCAATAACTGTTTGTATAGCACAGCACGTCTCTCAGTTCGTTTGGATTCCTTGGTAATTGAATAGTCATAAACATCAACCATTTTTTGAGAATTCTTCTGTAGGAACTCGCAAAATATGTCCCATGATACTCGGCTAGGTCCTAAAGAATAGAAAACTAGTTTTGAGAACTGTTCCCCAAGGGCTTTTTCGAGTAAGCCAAGGTTATTAACAGTAATAACATCCTCAGCCAGGGGCTCGCGAGTGATAAGAGTAAGCAGTTCAAGGGTGCTTTGGCTTCCCTGATTTTGGAGCCTTTTTATTGTTTGAGGTCAAGTGACTGCCTAGATTACCAAAGGTGTTAAAAGTCGACATTATAAGGCTGTGGTTGTCGGCATCCACAGCCCTCAACCTTCCTTATTCTTTTCTGCTTCTGATCACCAGTTTTTTGTCCGTTACGGCGCTTCCCGCTGTTCTGTTCGGCAGGCGTGGGTGATTGAATCCGCGAGGAGACTAGGTTGCCGGTTGACAGTGTTCCTGGATCAGGGGTCAGGGAGGAATTGGCATCGTCATTTGTGGCCATCTCGCATCTTTAGGTGTTCCAGAGAAGAGTTAAAGGTGGTAACAGACTATCTGGTGGTAAGTCTGATGTCACAGGGGGAGAGGATGTCAGCTTGCCAACGGGGATGTCAGCTTCCAAGCCAACAGGGTTCCAACTTCAGCAACGGGGGACGAAGGGGTCGGGTGGAGGCCAGAGGGCTTCGGGGGCGCTAAACCCGGCAAGTCGGAAAGAGAAAAAAAAAAAAAAAGGTGAAGACAGACATACAACAGTCAGGATTCGCATGTGGTCACCCACCATACTACTAACTGACCGGCAAGTGGCTTGAGTACGGCTGAGCGGACGGGAAGCCCTATTTTCCACTTCCTATGGTCGTATGTGCTTAAAGATGAAGAAGAGAGACTCATAACAAGGTCCCCCTTAATGTCATTGGCTGTAACTAAGATAAAACGCCCAAGTGTACTTCTCCTGGTGGTAGTAGAGTATCACCCCCGATGCCCGAAGTTGAAGGACTATTACATTACGTCTTCCAAGGTTCTACAAGGCAGAGGTTATCAAAGGGGCGATGATGATCAATACCGGGAAGGCCTAGATTCGTTTCATGATCTGGTCCGTGAAGCGTCAATGATGTCCTTGTTGAATCCTCATCTGGCCCTGGAAAATACTACCCATTATTTGATCCGAAGTCTGTTGGTTTCTAGAACCTGGCAAGAAATGCTCGACACTTTGATACTGGTCACGGGACGGTTGAGGCGCATTGGGCAAAGCGCGTAGAAATCACGGATGGGTCTCCCATTCCAGCCAATCAGGAGACAATTCACAGCCCTAAGCGGTGCATCATGTGACGCACAACCAACCCACTTTGAATATTCAACACCACAAAAGAGTTCTTCTCCCCCGACCGACGACAACCCGTGCACTTGAGCCCATTCACGACACCCTCAAGGACGCTCCGATAAGATGGCTGTTCGCAACCAAGGTGCGTTCTTTCGCCCGCCCTTCGCCCTTCGACCGACTCTCGCCAATTCCCCCAATACTAATGTTGCATACAGGTATCTCCTCCTCGAGGAGCAAGTCGCGCAAGGCGCACTTCTCTGCCCCCTCCAGCGAGCGTCGAGTTCGCATGTCCGCCCCTCTCTCCAAGGAACTGCGAGAGAAGTACAACGTAAGTTTACTATTTGAGTCGATTTTCAATCTAGGTCGGGCCAAGTAGGCTGTGGGGTTTTGGAGAAGGACAAAAAAACAAGAAAGAAAAAAAAAAAAAAAAAAAGGAAGAAGAACAGGGCAATACGGGCACACGAGCATAATAAGGGCGATTCTAACGAACGCTACGTCGAACAGGTCCGCTCTATCCCCCTCCGCAAGGGCGACGAAATTTCTATCGTTCGCGGCTCCAACAAGGGCCGTGATGGCAAGATCACCTCCGTCTACCGTCTCAAGTACGTCATCCACGTTGAGCGTGTTGTCCGTGAGAAGAGCAACGGCCAGAGCGTTCCTCTCGGTATCTCCGCCTCCAACGTCGTCGTCACCAAGCTCCACCTCGACAAGGACCGCGAGCAGATCCTCGCCCGTATCGCCAAGGGTCGTGAGGCTGTCCAGAGCAAGTCGGCTTAAGGGGATTTATCTTGTGTGTAGGGTTTTAGGTTCATATTGCAATGACGGTTTAACGGCGCGGGTTGTATTACAGGACTCCTAGAAAAAAAAATACAAGGGAGATCCAAGCTACCATTCTCAGGATCAACGTTTCTTGAACCCAGGTGAATTGCGATAAATGAAAAATGAAAAATATCCGTTTTCTTCCAATACGGAGTTGGCACTCGCAGGGCAATTTCGTTTTGCGGGGCCAGCCTATTTTTTTTTTTTTTTCCCTCTTTTCAGCGACTAGTATTCTTGTTTATTGAGTAGTACAGCGAGGGAGTCGCCTCTATGCGTGGTAGCATCTACAAGGACAGGAGGCACGGCACTAGGGGAGTTCGGAAATCACACTGCACGTTACATTTTGTACATGGGTGTCGATTATATATTTTGGCTGGGTGCAGGTCACATATATGACTTTTGGCATAGAATTGCCCTCCACACATGTTCCTTGATCCGGTCTTTCATTGCCTGCCACCTGCCAACCACCTATTTACATGTGCTATCTTCAGCATGAGCCTTTCAACAGTTACACACGCAATCGCCCCAAATAATTCAAAATTTACCTACCATGTACCTGTAGGGTAGGGTAGGGTAGGGTAGGGTAAGTTTTAGATTCATCTGCAGAGAAGGACTTTGCAGTAAAATATAATCCATAGGGTCTAATTAGTGCTGCCTTTTTATATTATATATCGATTATTGCGGGCGCTAGCTCTTGCTAGCATATACAGAATACCTGGTCTTGTCGTTCTTTTAATCCGCCAAATGTACTCTAACGGTTGTACGTATGTGCCTGAAAATGGAGAGATGAGGTTCAAAAGAGGCTTTGCTCGCATATCACGACTTGTTATATATGTCCAAGGACCAGGGTCGAGTTACCATTCCTGTATAAACCGCATCGTACATCCGTATATGAATTGAAGGGTGGGGAAAGGCCGATTCCGTGTGCGGATATCGTTATATATTGATCGAGTCTATTTGGGTATCAAAGCTAAATCCAAGGCCTCGTTGAAAACACACGGAATAGCATGTCACGGGCACGCAGGTACGATGTTCTTCTGGCCGCCGCAATTGTTCAAGCATCTGGGGCTTTCCCATCGAGCTGTTCGGTTTTCGAACTAGGTGCGGGCTCGATAACCTCAGCCTCGGCCAAATCAACCTTGACTGGGTCATGTATGATTCGTATAGGGAGGTTTAATTCCGCGTGTGCTGGTAAAGGCGGGACTGGGTCTAATGCTTTCCGCTTTGCATCTAGAGTATCGAATAAGCGGTAGCAGGCGTACGCGTCGGCTGCAGCATCTGTCAAACTATATTAGAAAAAATCTTCAGGTGCAGCGAGGAGGCAGGGGAAGATAGGTTTACATTGAACCTGCCGATAAGTGAGAGGAGACGACCAATTGCTGCATCGGATTTCCGCGTCCTTTACCAGAGGAAGTCCGAAATGCTCCTCAATTTGTTCGTCTAATCGAACGAGTTTCTTGTTGATTAATTTTGGATTTGACCGAGAGTATTTAACCAATTTATGTAGATGGCTGAGTTCAAAAGTTCCCCTAGTATCGATCCCTAGATACTTTCGCAGACGGGTGCAATCTGCTTTAATTGAGACGCCGACTTTAGTGATATCCGGAGATTCGAGGATCTGCTGTAGAGAGGGAGAAATGAAATCTTTGAGAGACTTTCCGGGCTTAAAGCGAGATAGCTGGAAGAGCGCAATTCTGTTCCGATTTGCGAGTTGGATAAGGGAAACGTTGTTCTGGATGGTGTCCGAGCTAGTGGCCTGCGCTTTCCATTCCATGTCAAACCCGAGAACTTTGTCCTCAAGAAAAAGTTTTGCTACATTTTCAGTGTTTTTGAGGGATTTGCAGTAATGTACAATAATTTCCTTTCCGTCTTCGGTCTTATACAATCGATGGCTCCATAGCTTTTTGGGTGGAATTTTGCTTGTGGGGCGAACAATAGGAGGCTCAGCCAGTTGAGGTGTCTCACTAATTTCAACTGAGGTTTCTTGTGATCCGGTTATGATGGTTGGAGGTAAGTTTTTGCTTAATGTAATTAGTTTGCCTTTCTCAAGACCGGTGGAACTAGCTATCTGAGCTTTTGCTTGCGAGGTTGGATAGGAGCTGTATTGTCGTCTTGAACCCTTGCAGACAGTACGGAGTATCCGAGGGCGGCTGGTCGCCCACGGAACTTGACGAGGGCCGATTTCCATACTGAGAAGTTGAGAAGTAGAAACTATAGTCCCATTTCGTTGGATGAGCGACCGGAACGTATAGGTGTAGGAGTCGTAAAGACTAGGTACGTAGGCAAAGTTGAGCTTTTCAAAAAACGAGTGATAGGAGACGGGCAGAAGCTAAATATTCTGTATTCATTCCCTCTTTGATATTAAGCCCTAAAAAGGCCCAAACGGCATCAGAAATATGGTATGTTGAGATGCATGAAGTGTAAGAAGTCGGCATGTTTGCTGGTGCTTGGATAGATTGTAGATCTATTTTGATTCCTTAGGCATCCAATGCCGGATCGGATAAACACACGACCCTGCCTTGCCAAGACTCTGTGGATGGAATCATCCATCGAAGATCGCCCACCAGCAACAATTACTGTCCAATTTCGAAGAAGGATTTCCCTTCAAGTCTTGTATAAATTTCCAAGGAAGAAAGTCTATATTTGAGAGGCACTCTCTCAAGGATACAGAAATGGCGTCACAACTTCTCCCTCTTGGTATTGATTACCCCGTTTCAGTATACATGAGCAGCTGGCTAACCCAACGCCAGAATTGATTGACAAGTGCGTTGGTTCTCGGATATGGATCATCATGAAGAATGATAAAGGCTGGTTTATATTTTGTATCACAGAGTGAGACCGACGCAGACTAACGTTGATTAGAATTTTCTGGCACATTACTGGGATTTGATGACTACGTCAGTAAGTGACCATTTGAGCTAATGTGGAATATATTGAGAAAATTGAATTGAATCTAACTTGCTTTAGATATGGTATTGGAAGACGTGACCGAATTGTAGGTCAATGTTTCAATTATCTCCGGACTCTTTCTCGCATGTCGAGCAAATCGGCATGGATGTTCAACTAACATCTGGATAGCGACTACTCTGGAGCACAGATTAAGCTCCCGAAGATTTTGCTGAACGGGAACAATATTTGCATGGTATATACCCAACTCTTTTTGTCAAGTGAGGAAACTAACCTGTTTTTTAGTTGATCCCTGGTGGTGAAGGGCCGGTTGGTAGTTCTTGATTCTAAAAGCCCAAGTTTTTCTCTTGCTGCGATGACAATCTTGCCAATGACTTGTGATGATATCACCTAATATCCATATAATAGAGGATCTTTTTCTGTTCCAGTAATCTACACCATTCCCTGTATTTCACACAACTGCCCTCTGGAGCAGACAGTAGCTTTAGCTTCATATAATAGTTTGACTTTGTGTAAATTGTAAGGAAGGAAAAGCCGATACTCTCGGGTCCTAATTCCCGTTTGGAGATCTTGTTTATACTGGACATTTTGGCGGTGGTGGTAGCGAAGAAGTGTGGACTAGATAGGAAATATATATATGTAGCTGCATCTCGCGTATCGCGGGTTGAGTCGCCAAGCATTATGCAGGTGCAATTCATAATTCATTGGGAAAGAGTACAGTGACATGAAGTGATCATGGTAAATATTGGGATGTGAATATGGAAAATGCTTTTCTCGATATCTGATCTTGGTTCAAGATCAACATATAAGGTAACCATCGACGAAATCCTGAAACCTCGACTAAGCAGGCATCGAAGATTGTTTCAACCATGGAACTAGTAGTAGTCCACACTTCTTGCGAGGATTTTTCTGTTGTTATTGCGGGATAAGGTTTCCCCTGTGGAACATGTATGTATTGGAGTTCAGCTTCATGAATGGAAAAGAGTCGTTTTATTCGACTGCTTTTGAGTCAAGTGATAGGCTTCCCGAATTGTCATTAGTGTAGCGGTTATCAAGTACGGAGTACATAAGATGGCTATGGGGCCGAGAGAGGGGCATTCCATCCCAGCACCAAGTCAGTTTCGTTTCGCTATTCAATAATTCATTCCTCCATATCTCTCTCTCCACTCTCAGCTGTGACACTTTCTTATTTATGGCATCGCCATATGTAACTATTATTACAACTACAGGGCTTCCCTAGTCGCACTTGGTAATCCTCCTTCAACGCCTTCTTTGCCTTTTTGCCCTCGTGGTCCTGTGGCTTAGCATCAGAAATTCTATCAAACACCACAACACCTATTATCGCACCCGCCTTATCTCTCGCCTTTGTGCCTCGTCTACCTTATTATTACCCAGCCCCGTCGCTTGCGCTTCCCTTTCTCAAATATCCCACCCTCTCGAAGCTTGTGTTCCCAACAATTCCAAGACGCACACACCACCACTATATGCGGTCCTGTGGATGGCCATCATAAATGGATAAGGATTGTTTCAAGACCAAATACGACCGTTCGGCGTCAGCCGACTCCCCGCCAGCCTATGGCGAAAGTGCAGAAACACGAGGCAGCCTCCCCCATCGCATAATAGAGAGCTTTAAGAGAGACCCAAATGCCCATGTTACCGCACATATATCCTTCGCATCGTTGGCTCCAGGCCAGAAATTCGACCTGGAAAATGCAGTGGAAAAAACGGCCAACTCTCCACTCCAACGCAGCCTGAGAGGTCGTCATTTACAGATGATTGCGATTGGTGGTTCTATTGGTAAGGATTGCTCCATTTGCCGTAACCTAAGCCGCTGCCGTGGCTAACAAGCATTGATGATTTTGTAGGTACTGGTCTCTTTGTCGGATCCGGAAAGGTGCTTGCGACAGGCGGTCCAGCATCTCTTCTTATTGCGTATGCCTTGATTGGATGCATGCTCTACTGTACTGTGCACGCGCTTGGAGAGATGGCTGTCATATTTCCCGTAGCAGGCTCATTTGCGCACTTTTCGACTCGATTCATTGACCCAGCTTGGGGATTTGCCATGGGTTGGAATTACGCTCTGCAGTGGCTTGTCATTCTGCCGCTGGAAATTGTTGCTGCATCAATTACCGTCGACTACTGGGAGTCTACAATCTCTAATGCCGCGTGGGTTGCCTTATTTTGGTCTATTATTGTGTCCATCAATCTCTTTGGAGTCAAGGGTTATGGTGAGGCAGAATTTGTTTTCTCCTTTGTGAAAGTTATAGCCGTTATTGGTTTCATGTGAGTGACCCCAACCCATCTATCTGTACCAGACCTAAGCAGTACAATTAATGTTGTATAGAATTCTCGGGATTATTTTGAACTGTGCCGGAGGTCCGAATGGCGGCTATATCGGCGGCAATTATTGGCATGATCCGGGCGCATTCAATAATGGCTTCAAGGGTCTTTGCAGCGTCTGTGTCAATGCTGCTTTCGCATTTGTCGGAACCGAACTGGTTGGTCTTGCGGCAGCCGAAACAGCAAATCCTCGCAAGTCCCTGCCCACCGCCGTCAAACAAGTTTTCTGGCGTATCACCCTCTTCTACATTGTCTCCCTCACCTTAGTTGGCCTTCTTGTCCCGTACACAGACGACCGGCTCATTAACAGCAGATTTTCCGCGGATGCCAAGGCGTCTCCCTTTGTGATTTCTATTAAAAATGCAGGGATCGAAGTATTGGACTCGGTGATGAATGTTGTGATTATGATAGCCGTTATCTCTGTTGGTAACTCGGCTATTTATGGATCTTCTCGTACCTTGGCGGCTCTCGCCGAACAGAGACAGGCTCCTAGCTTCCTGGCCTATATCGACCGGAAGGGGCGTCCTCTGTGGGCCATTGGCATTGCATCTGCTCTCGGGCTACTTGGATTTTTAGCGGCGACTGATCAGCAGGAGAATGTTTTCGAGTGGATGATAGCGATCTCGGGCCTGTCGTCCATTTTGACCTGGGGTTCGATCTGTCTCGCACACATACGTTTCCGTCGAGCATGGAAGATCCAGGGTCACAGCCTGAACGAGCTGGCGTTTCGCTCCCAGGCAGGAATCATCGGCTCTTGGGTCGGATTTATATTTAACGTGCTCCTTCTGATTGCGCAGTTTTGGGTAGGCTTTGCGCCTATCGGGTACGAAGATATGACGACGATTGGGCTGGTCCGCAACTTCTTCTCCAAGTATTTAGCGGCGCCAGTGGTCCTTCTTTTCTACATCCCTTACAAACTCTGGTTTAGGACGAAAGTTCTCAGTTGTCGAGACATGGACTTGCGGACGGGACGACGAGAGCTGAACATCCCATACCTGATACAGGAGGAGCGAGCGATGCAAGCGGCCTGGCCAGCATGGAAAAGGCTGTACAAGTTCTTCTGCTAGAGCGGTTGTGTGTACAGAGATTTTATAATGATTTAATACCCTGATGATATCCGATGAATATGACTGCCTATAACTATATCCTAGTCCTAGATTACCATAGTTACATCCAAGGCTGAAATAGAGTTATATAAGAGTTAGTTATTACTTATTAGTTAGTTATAGTACTAATAGTAGTAATAGTAAAAGGGGAAAGGGGAGAAAGGGGGGCACATCTAATTTCTGGCAGCACCAATAATAATACCTACCTCGTCATCACTGGAGAAGATTCCACCAGAATAGTAACCTGCCTCCTGAAATCACAGGTACGGAGTACTCTCATTGTAGTAAAGGTACTAATTATAACTCTATCCTAGTCCAACTCCTCCATAACCATAGGTACGATAGCAAATGCTATTTGAAGCAGTCCCACTTGGTGTCTCAGCCATACAAAAAAATTTAAAAATGATGATCTTGAGTACTAAGTAGTAGTAGGAGAGTATAGGAGTTACTAGTAGTTACCTGGGCAGCTGGGTAATTTATCACCTTGAACTAAGCACTACGTACTGTAACATGGTGACCAAAAATACGCCCAAAATAGTATCACAATACCACGTGAGGGCTGCGAGTGCGGTTTCAGGTGTGGTATGGAGTATGTAAATTACGCCGTGGCCCAATTATGTAACTATGGCAGTCGAACTCTGCTTTCTATTCAGTAACTATTCAGGTACTGCTAACTAACTAACTAGTAACTTCTAACTAGTGTGTTGTCCAGACCTGACTGACTGACTGAACTTCCACCAAGTTGAACTTCCTCCCATTGTTACTTCTTCCATCCCCATCAATTTATATCCCTAAAATAATACCTTGACTGCAGCTCGACGCCCGGTCTTCTCTTTGATCTTTCTTCCATCATTTCTTTTTTCTCTCTCCTCCCCCCCCCCACCTCCTCCCCCACTCCTCGCCCTCTGCCGCTTTTTGGTTCGTCTTATTTGTTGCCTTTTTCCCGCTCTCTCTCTCTCTCTCTCTCTCTCTCTCTCTCTCTCTCCTGTTAGGCGCTTACTTTGCCTGACCTCTCTAGCCGCCGCCCTTGCATAAGATCTTCCTACGCATATATATGCCTCCTGCTCATACCTGATCTGAATTGAATCAATCTAGTGCTGGGAACGAGGCTGGACACTCACTTTTCCTTTCTTTTTCTTTTTCCTTACTTGTTATCTGGCGCAGCGCTGTCATCTAAAACTCTCCCTGCATTCCTTCTACCCCGGACATACCTTAGCTCCTGTCTTGCGCGTCGTGGAAAGTTCTAGCCGCCGAAGAACCTGCCCAATTTTACCTCTCCGCGGTGCCTGTACATCGTCACGAAAGACTAACACTAAAGCTCCCTTGACCTTCTCTGCTCATACTCCTCTCCTCCTCCGATCGATCGATTCCAATCGAAGACGGCCGCGTTAATCAAAATGCCTGGGTTCGCAGATTCATTCTGGACCCCCGACTACGCTACGGGCCTGGGGGTCCTCTATGGAAAGCTACAGCAGGGCGTCGTGGAAAACAAACAGATCCTCACCATTGCGTCGATGCGTGCCGATGCTGAGGAGATGTACAGCTTCAAATTGGGGGATATTGCGCCGAGCGTGGACAGATTAGTAGCAGGGTTTGCGAAAGATGATGGTGCCAGTGTGAGAAAGGTAAGCGGAGATCTCCATTCTTCTGCGAAACTCTTTTCTAAATCGGGGTTGCCCTCAATGCTGACGACAACTCAACCCGAAAGGCATACGAAGGATCCCGCACTGAAATGATCGAAGCCGCCAAGAATCACCAGAAGATTGCTTCGAATATCCGAGAACTCGTTGTTTCGCCGTTCAAGCGCTGGTGCGATCAGCATGAAGCTCGGATCGAGAACTCTCACGACGACCTCCAGGCTCGTATTAAGGAACACACCAAGCAGGTGGACTTGGTCAAGAAGCTGCGGAGCCACTACTTCAACAAGTGTCGTGTGCTTGAGGATCTGGAGGAAGAGAATAAGCTTGCATTCCAGGGACCTGAAACTAGCCCCAAGATCAAGCCAACCCCCAAGATTGTTCTCCCGGAAGATGAAGTGCCAGAGGACGAGCCGGTTGAGATAGGCGACCGGGTTTATGCACCGGAGGATGTAAAGAATCTCCTGGTACACATGCTGGATAACATCAAGACTGGTGACGTCAAAGTTCCTATTATCGGCACATACCAAAATACATCCACTGGCTCCGACATTGTGGAATACAGTCAGAAATACCTCAATGCTACCAGCATAAGTTACGCGGAAAGGATTGGTCAGGATCTTGTGGACAATGGATTCCTTCGCTTGGTAGGAAACATGGGCAGCACATTTGCCAATAGCTCCAAGATGAATTACCAATGGCGTCCTAAAGTGTTTCAAGTAACTGGCATTCCGGAGAAGAAGAAACCGTTGATGCGCGTTACCTCGATGGCTTCAAGTGAGGACGGAAGCGAATCTCCGATTGCATCTGTGTCGGAGATGCTGGCCGGTTGGAACCCTCTCAACAACCCACATCCCAACGAGACGCCAGCGGAAAAACTCCGCAGAGAATCGCGTGAAGCTGATGAACGCTACAAGACCGCTGTGCGGAAACTTGACCTCATAAGATGCAAACTGGAGGAGGAGATTGTTGCGAATCTCCGGTTTATGGAACAATGTGAACTAGATCGTCTCAAGGCGATCAAGGCTGTAATCCTTGATTTCTCTGGATCAATCAGCAATGTAATTCCGAACCTACAGAGCACTGTAGACCACATGATGCTGTATCAGGAGACTATCCAACCTCTAGGAGATCTCCGGTATCTTCTCGAAAACTACAGAACTGGCTGTTTTGTTCCTCGTGTCCAGACATATGAAAACTATTATGGCTCAGTTGAAGGTATATATCTTCTTTCCTGCTTTGCTACGATGTTGAAGGTCTGACTGATGATTTTTTAGATCAAATCTTTGGCGTTGATCTCGAGGCTAAAGCAAGAGTTGATCGCAAGCGTGTTCCTATTATTGTGACAACTATTTTGACTTACCTGGACAACTGTAAGAGATGATTCTCGTGCACCGTCGGATTGAACGGCGCTAATGCATACTCATAGGCTACCCCGAACTCGAGGGAGACGAGTCACGCCGCGCGATTTGGCTTTATGATGTTCCTTTGGGCGCCACTCATCACCTCCGTCACGCCTTGAATAATGGAAAAGTCGACTACCGCGAAGTGCTGGAAAAGTATGAGATACCCGTTGTTGCGAGCGCGTTAAAGCTATATCTTCTTGAATTGCCAGGTAACACCCTTCCCTTTACCAGACAAAGTAAGAGCATAGGCACTAATCAGTCCTACCAGACTCTCTTGTTTCTTCCCAAGTTTACGAAATTGTTAAGACCATCTATTCCACGACCGCAAATGAGACCACAGAGGAGGGACGTATCAAGGTTCTCCAAAGCACTCTTGGTCAACTCCGTCTCAACAACATAGCCACGCTTGATGCCATTATGACCCATTTTACACGTTTGATAGACCTAACGTCTGCCGACGAAGCCTACATTTCCTCACTTGCCCAATCTTTATCCCCTTGCGTTCTTCGTCCTCGCACAGAGAGCAGCCTTACAATGGATGAGCGTCATAGCTACCGTCTGATCCGGGACCTCTTTGCCCACAAAGATGCAATTTTTGGTGAACTAAAGCGCCAATCGAGTGCTACCGGGATGACTGGCGCAGCCCCTCGCCCTCGTGCCATCAGCACCAATGAAAGCAACCGCCGAGCAGCCATGGAGGCCCGCAACCGTGCCATTGTGGACCGCAGCCGTGCTAATAGCCCAGCTCCTCCTCGGAAGCACCGCCGAGACCGTTCAAGCGGCCCTGAACCAGGGCGATTCCCCATAAACGTCTCTGGAGAGAGAAGAGCTGCCGCTGCCCGGAACAGCTTGGATGTCCCCAACAGCGAGTCCCCGACAGGGGTTGAGGACGTTTCAAATACCAACATTCATGCCGGCGAAGCCGCCACAAACGGCACCCCCGTGGAGTCCCCGGTTTCTGCTGGTCCGAGCTCTTCGTCAGACCCATCCAGTCCGCCTCCCACGTCTAGATCGGATGAATCTCCCACGCCTACCCCAACTGCCGAAAAACGCGCTTCCATCTCCCGCTCTAGTATTATCTACAACCGCAAGCCAGGACTCGGTAACCGGTCTAGCTTCCCCGTTGTCCCGAGCGAGACCGGAACGGATAGCAAGCGGAGCAGCCTGATTGAAAGCGAACCCAAGGGCGTTACCTTAGAAGACAAGCCTATGGATGACTAGACGTAACCTTGAAGTCTCATATTGAAACACAAAGATGACGACCATACTATCTGATGTTTGATGCTGCTGGGAAACCTTGAAGAAATGCGCCAAAAAGCCAACTGCCTAAACGTTCTCTACATACATACATACACTGATCCTACTATCCATACATACCTCCGCCCCAAATACACACATTACATACCTAACATACTACCTACATACTCTATCACACCTTCATCTTGAACCCGCGCAAGGGACTGTCATGGTGTATGTCAGTCACCGCACCAACATTTCAACCTTTTCTCCAGGCAAGGCAGGGCCTTTTCCGATTCCGAATAAGATTGAGATGTTGCTTTGCTTTGTTATGCTGTGTTGTGTCTTGTTTTGTTCTGCTTGTGCCAGAAGGATGGGTGGGCAGCTGGGATACCATATCATATCATATATATTTGTTATCTTCCTTTCTTCCTCTTTCCCTCGTGGATTTTGTTCTCCTATACCTATATCCCATTCTCCCTTTCACTCATCGTTCCCATTCCAGTTCCTATTGTCGAATAAATCATGCCTATCATTACCATTCCATTATCATTTCCATTGCCTGGACAACCTTGAACAACTTTCCTTTTTTTTTTTTTCTTTCTCCAGCCCCTCCTTTCCTTGCATACCTGATTCCCCTTGTATGTTTGTTCAACTTTCGTGCCCACACACTTTTCTTGCCTTGTCTTGTCCTGTCTTTACTTGGTCATCTTATGCCCCCCCCCCCCCCCCCCCCGATGTTACTCTTCCCACTTCTTTTTTTTTTTTTTTTTTTTTCTAGATATTTCCCTGTTCAACTCTACCTACTTGTCTATCTCTTGACCTTGTATTTAAGCGGTGGGAGAGCCTGTGTATTGACTATATTTTGGCCTTTCGTCTTCATATCCTCGTAGCGGTGTGGTAATGATTCTTAACTACAATGATGTAGGTAGTGATGTAAGATCATTTGATTTTGATTTGTTTATTTATTTTAGGCTAGTAGCACAAAGGAGATGAAAATGAGGGTAAAAAGAATACGCTGACCAGAATGCTTAGTCGAACTCCAATGAGTACCCCAATACAATCGCTAGTTGATCGACTCCTAAAATGCTCCCAAGACCAATGCAGAAGATACCAAGAAAAGAAGAAACGTTTATAATCCTTGGCCCATGAAAAATCGCCGGAGAATACCCTCCCCAGGACCTGTAATCTGACTCTCAATTTCCTTTTGTGAGACAAAGCAAACCAGGCTCTGCTCGTCTAATGCCTTGTTGAGGAATATACTGCTAGACTTTGAAGGAGTTCGTCGTATATCCGAGCCACCAGCGACTGTTCCACCGCGACCACGGCTCTGGTACTCGCCAACCAGTCCCAACGTCTCTAGGCTGCCAAGGACGTCCTTGAATTCGGTTGATGTTAATGGATGTAAGATATTATCTGTTCGGCAAAGAGTACAATATGCGTCGAAGATCTGTTTCACGGTTGGCACCATGCTCTTCGACTTTGACGGTGTTCCCTGAACTTCGCCTTCACGGCGTTTTCGATCAAGTGCAACTAAGGCGCAAATTGCTGCCTTTTGTTGAAGATTCAGGCACTGCAGCCTTTGAACTGTTCCCTGTCCAAAAGCGGAAGAAGTAATCCGTGCCACATGGGCAATGCTGGCTCGAGGAGCCGTAAGGGCCGTATAAGGGAATACGGTTTGTTTGGGTGCTGAATGTCTCGGAGAAGCCGAAAGATTGTTATTCTCGACTAGAATTGTCTTCGAAGAGCTTTCCGTACTTTGCTTGTCAAGCTTCTGCAATGTCTCATGCTCAATCAGGTCAATCGCACTTTTGACGAGTTCAAATGCTTTGCGTAGGTCTCCAGTTTGCGAAGCGACTTTCTTCGCACATAACTGAATAGCTGCGGGTTGAACAAAGGGAATGAATTTCGGATCCTCTGATTGATTTTCAGGAAGGAGAGATCGAAGACGATTGATTATAACGTTCGCAATCTGGCCAGCATTGTAAGGCAGGAAAGGAAGTAGAGCAGGTTTCAAGTTCTTTGCCTTCAGCTGAGGCAAAGATCGGTCAGTCAAATCAAGTGCATTGGCAATTCCAATGAGCATTAGCTTTGATTCTTTTTGTAGAGACCATTCAAACAAGGACTGAAGAATACCAGCGTCCGAGGTAAGGAGGTGGTCAATTTCATCCAGCATAACCAGGAACATATCGTCGTCCCTGCTCGCATGCTGCTTCTTTTGCTTCTCGGGGACAAACATGCTCCTCAGTCTATCGGCCTCGCTCTTCTTAAAAACTTCGCTATCATCGCACAGATCCTCGATGAGCTTGCTGTAAACGTCCCGTGCACTCCTCATACTTGCGCAATTGAGTTGTGTCACCTTGATTGAGCCGAGGTCAAGTTCACCAAAGACCTCTCTAACAAGGGCGCTCTTTCCGGTGCCTGGAGGACCGCTGACGTACATACAACCACCTTTGCCCGACTGTACGCCGTCTCTGATGAATGTAGATAGTTTTTCTCGCTCCGCATCCCGACCGACTATCCGGGCTGAGCTCGCGCCTCGAGCAAACAACTGTCGTGCATGCGTGTAGATGGTTTGAACAGTGGTTGGGGTGCCTATCTGTCGTGGGGTGCGTGGTGTCAACGCTTTCCCTCCGACTTGAACTCGATGCTTGGGGGTGACCGGTGGGGATTCTAGCGCATTTCTATACCTTGCCTTCGAGGGAGTTTTGACTTCTACCCGTTTTGTATTTTCATCTAGGTACGTTAGCTCGATCTCTTTCTAAACGAGTATCTCGGGCTTACCGTTGGTGGGCTGTGAGGTGGGTGGGAGAGAATTTCGTATCGACGGGGACGGCGCTTGAGTATCTCGTAAAGTGGTTTCCTTTGGTCGCTCATTCTCAACCAAAGGGTCTTTGATTTGGGTGTCATTCTCCTGCTGGAAATTGCTGCTTGTTTTTCCTTTGGAGCGAAGCTGGCGTGTCAAGGGTGGTGAAGACGGCTTCTCTTCTCGATGGATGCGAGGTGCATGGATACGACGCTTGCTCCCACTACGCAGTGGTAAAGATGCTATTGATGCGATTTAGTCAGTAATTGACCAAAATATGGAGGTAGGAGCTAAGCGGCCATACTTTCTGTTTCAATGGTGCCTCGTTGACGCTTGCCTAAGATTGTCACAGCCATGACGAGGAACTGTGGCAGGAGCAGTTGGGATAAGAATTGAATAAGAGCAGGAACTTCCCAGTGATTGACTAGTGACAAGGTACTAATACATGAGCAACTGCTTGTTGAGAACTGACTCTTGATACCCAGGTAGGTAGGTAGTAAGCTCCTAGGCAAATATGCGCCCTGTCCAAAGAAGGCATAATTGGTTCCCGAGCCTTGAGAGTCGCGTCGCTTTTGGCGCGTCCGATCACGCGTCACGCGCCAAGTAACTATTACCTAAGTCATTAGTCATGGTTATTTATGCAGAACTTGCCGGAACCGGGAAAACTAAAGCTCCGAATAGATCCAACAAGTGCGTCACTCAATCCTGCCTAACGCTGGCGAATGGTAGTGGAGTGTGGTTTGACTGCTCTGTCAGGCTATGAACTTGCTCCCTTATTTACTTTCTCCTCCTCCTCCTCCTCTTCTTCGTCTTCGTCTTCATCCTCTTCTTCCTATTCCTTCTCTCACATGCCACTGAGAACACTTCTTCGCTCTTGGCTTTGCTAAAATATTACTGGTCGGGCCCTAAACGCCTGGGCTTAGTTTGCACTTGTTTGCATTGCCTTTGCAGTTGTACAAGAACACACGGTCTCATTTTACGGCTTTACAATCACTGATTAGCGGCACACGAAATCGGCTTCGTTTCTTTACCTCTAGAAGTACCACTGGAATTCTCTGTTCGCCATGGACGGCGATGTGGTGGCTCAGTTCACCGAGATCACCGGCTCAACACCGGAGCTCGCAGCGCAGTATCTGCAGCTGACCGATTTCAACATTGAGCAGGCGATGCAGCTTTACTTTGAGAATGGCGGAGCACCCCTAACTGAAGAGCCTACATCTTCTACTTCTACTACAACTAGCAGAGCTCCGCGCTCTTCTGGGTATGAAGATAACTCTGGAATTATACATCTTGACTCCGACGATGACGCCAGCGTAAACGAGACCCGATCCACGCCCCGAGAGCAATCCCGAAATGCATCGACATTTGAAGATGATGCGGCGATGGCTCGTCGTTTGCAGGAAGAAATGTACAATGGGAACGATGGCGCCGATGACGTGCGTGCGCCGCTTGCTCGCACGACCGAAACCCTGGTGGGGCCTGAGGCGGACTTTGATGATGGTGATATGCATGCGAACATTTTGGGTGAACTCCGCGCCCGCCAGAGACGAAGCAGTTGGTCTTTCCCTCTCGAAACTCTGCTCCTCATTCGTCGGGATTTTTTGTCACTGATTGATTTTCTCCCTAGATCGACCCGGCATCTTCAATCAGAGAGACACGGCTTCGATATGGACGGGGGAGGAGGAGGAGGCATCGCATCGTGAAAGGCTGGCAGCGGCGACGGGAGGAGCTTCCGAATCGTCAAACAAATCAAACATGCTCGCAGAAATGTACCGACCGCCTTTTGAGATCATCTCAAGGCTACCGTGGGATCTGGCTCGACAGGAGGGTCGTGATAATGAGAAGTGGCTGTTGGTGAACATTCAGGACCCATCCATATTTGACTGTCAAATATTGAACCGGGACTTGTGGAAAGATCCTAGTGTTAAGGATACCATCAAAGAACATTTCATATTCTTGCAATACTCCAAAGACGATCCCCGCGCCGCACCATATCTGCAATATTATTTTCAGGCCAGTGATGTGTCCGACAACTACCCCCACATCGCCATTGTCGATCCTCGCACAGGTGAACAGATGAAGGTGTGGTCAGGACCCCCTGTGGTGAGGGCGGCGGAATTCCTCATGCAGCTTCACGAGTTCCTTGACCGTTACAGCCTGAACCATAACGTGCGGAACCCTGTGGCCAGGCGAAAACCGGAGACGAAGGAGAAAAGTATCGATGCTATGACTGAAGAGGAGATGATGGAGATGGCATTGAGGAATAGCCTTGGCCATGACGCATTGCAACCAAGAAGGATGGAAGATCCTGATGACTTGACCCGCAGCGTCGAAGATGTTAAGGGTAAAGGGAGAGCCGTCGATGAGGAGGATATCGGTATGGAGGAGGCCGGGGCCGGTGGAGATGCTGGGACTGAAGTATCTCTCTTTTCATCAATCCCTAGCGATCAACCGCACACCGAACCTCCTGCTGATCCTGCCACCACGACACGGATTCAGTTCCGTCATCCTACCGGCAGAGTTATCAGGCGTTTTGCCTTAAACGATCCGGTCAGGAGGATTTATGAGTGGCTGAAGGCTGATCCTCCGTTGGCGGATAAGGCAGGAGTGGAATTTGAGCTCAACTCGATGGGTCGCAATTTGATCGATGTGCTTGACCTGACTGTGGAAGCTGCTGGTCTCAAGAATGGAACGGTCATGATAGGATATATTGAGGATTAGGAGTCAACCCTAACGGGTCATACTTCATGAATGCCGGCAATGATAGACTCATGGATGCCTTTACATGGGCTATGGTTATTTATCTCTGCTTCTGTCCTAGGTACCACTCCAGTCTCCGTAGAAGGGATCCCCACGGACATAACGATCCTTTTTGCAGGCCCGTGATGTACTTGTAGAGCGGGGGATGAAGAATTGAGGCACACAAGATTGGTGAGCCAGAGTAGATAATTTGTAGAACGGAGCATAACGGTGACTATCTTTAGAACCATATAAGATACCAGGTCTCCTCCGTTATCCTTTCCAGTCCCCCCTGCTTCCGAACAACTACTAATGCCCTTCCTTCCGGAGTACTACTACTCCGTATACAGAGTAGTTTACCGCCCGGCAAAATAAACCCCGCGCTGCCCCCAATCAACATCCAGCGTCCCCCTCAAGTCGCTTCACATACGTTCCAAGGTGGGTGTTTGTTGTTATTGTTGTTATTGTTGTTGTTGGTTGTTGTCCTCGTCTCTGTCGATGATGCAAGGGAAATTTCAATTCGACTTTCCTCAGAACTACCCCCCTTCCACATTATATTGTCAATACTTGATTCCCTTCACTCCCCCTCCCCCAATGACTTGGAATTAGCATCAAGCAAGGAAGGACTGGCAGAATTCCCTTTCTTGGGCCCTCCTCGATTCTAGCCCACCGTTCCGACACTCAGCTGCTACTCTTGTTGATGACGAGGGATTTCACGAAAAAAAAAAACCAATAGGCAGTGGAGTTTTTCACCAAAACCAATTCTGTACCTGGAAGCACCGCCCCCTTGGACCGTTCTCCGTTTACCCTTCCCCCAGGCGATCGGTAAGTCCGTTGTCGCTGGTGTTCAGTTGTTGATCAGCTCTCCTGGCTCCTTATATATTATGCTTTTTCCACATTTCTCTCTCTGCAGCCAGATATTGGACTTGCGTCTATCATCGGGGATTTCTTCTATACTAACCAACTTCCTAGCATTACGCGCCTGTGCATGATTGACTGACAGCTATCTTCCCTGCGAGCAATTTAAGCGCCGCCAAAATGGAGGGCCTGGTAGATCCGGAAACCATTTACATGAAGCAGAACTGCATTGGTATGTTGAATAACATGACAGAATAATAGCCGTTAGTCATGTCAAAGTCCCTAACTCGTGATGCAGGTGGTGGCAGCTTCGGACGGGTATACAAAGGGTATGCCAACTTCCTCTCTCGCGCTAGCCCTTGAGGTATACTCTTTAACCGCCCCTGTTGTTATGCAGTGTTGATAAGCGCACCGGTACATCCGTTGCGATTAAGATCATTGACGTCGAAAATGCCGAGGACGAAGTCGAAGATATTATCCAGGAAATCGCCATCCTATCCGAACTCAATTCCCCATACGTGACTAGATATCATGGGTCGTACTTGAAGGGGTCGAGTTTATGGATTGTCATGGAATTCTGCTCCGGAGGTAGTTGCTCTGATTTGATGCGTCCAGGGCCCATCCCAGAGGAATACATTGTGATCATTGTCAGGGAACTGCTCCGTGGGTTAGACTACCTGCATAGCGATAAAAAGTTGCATCGTGACGTTAAGGGTACCTTCTTCCTAAAACCATACCGCCTCCCCCTCCCTTTTTTTTTTTTTTTTTTTTTTTTTAACAAAATGTTATTCACAGCTGCGAATATTCTCCTTACGTCGGGTGGCCAGGTAAAGCTCGCAGATTTTGGCGTCTCAAGTCAGCTATCTGCCACCATGACGAAGAAGAATACCTTTGTTGGAACTCCTTTTTGGATGGCCCCTGAGGTTATCAAACAGTCAGGATACGATTATAAGGCAGACATTTGGTCTCTTGGTATCACTGCAATTGAGTTGGCGCACGGAGAGCCTCCATACTCAGATATTCATCCCATGAAAGTTTTGTTCTTGATTCCCAAAAACCCTCCCCCTACCCTACAAGGTGATTACAGCAAAGCCTTTAAGAACTTTGTTGAACTTTGTTTGCGACGCGACCCTAGAGAACGGCCATCCGCCAGAGAGCTGCTTGAGCACCCATTCATCAAGAGAGCGAAGAAAACGAACTACTTGACAGAATTGATCGAACGTTACGAACGCTGGCAGGCAGTCCATGGTAATAGAAAGGACGATGAAGATGATGAACTTGTTCAAGAGACAATATCCAATCCAGCAGGTACTGAGGATGACGATGATCTTTGGGATTTTGGTACTGTTCGCCCTGTCGGGCGACCACCAGGTTTGAATCCAATAAAGGTGACCGATATGAACATCAGGAGTCAAGAAAAGAAAGAGCGGATCATCAAAGACGAACCTCGCAAGGAAATGCCAAACCCCAACAATCGTACACCGTCGTCGTTTGTTCAAACCAGACCCCCCAATGTTGCTACTCCGAAAGCATCATCGCCGACTAAGATCCCTTTACCTCCCTCTCCGGTGAAGTCAGCACACACCGAAGACCCTCCTCGGACGCCGTCCCATCTTTCCAGATCAGTGCCTCATCAACCAAAGGAGAGTCCTAGTAGCGAGTATGACAAAGCTCTGCAACAGTCTTTAGCTCAAGACCTGAGTTTCCTGCAGCTCGATCGCTCTCCGGGAACATCTATAACAAATCTAATAGACCGGAATAGCCCCGTCACAACACCATTGACCCACCAGCCACATGTTTCAGTGGATGTACCATCTCCCCAAGGGCGTAATCCGGCATCCTCGCCTCGAAATATAGCAGAGCAAAATTTCAGATCTGGAATCGATTCGCTCCCTCCACCTCCGCTATTTTCTCAGCCGCAACCCCAGCCTCCGCGCCATTCCCATTCCCCTCCTCGTCCTCCTCCCACACCAAAGCATGTGTCACCGCAGCCACCATCGCAAGCACATAAGCCCTTACAGTCACCTCTACCCAGTTCACAAAACCCTTCTACGAGTACATATTATCCTCGGCCCCAGAAGACCCTTGATTCAAATGTACATGAGGCAAAAAGGCCCCAAACATCAGAAAATATTACGGCCCTTAACAGCGTTATCATTCCCGCTCTTAGCGGAGCGATTCGCCGCCGCGCCCGTCGAGCAGAACTCCTCTCGCGCCCAGATGACATCCACCACCGTAAGGAGTCTGCGGAACTCCAGGCGCGGAGAGAGCATGCCCAAGAAATGATAGAATCGCTCGCCAATGATTTGTCTGGCATTCTCGCTAGAATCGAGCGCTGGGATAATGACGCACCTGTGGGGATGGGGGCCAATATTCCCTCGTTTTTAGAAGGATTTCTTGAAGAAATTCTCGTTAGAATCGAGCCTACTGAGGAAAGAGCGGGTACCAAACGACACTAGGATGTGGTGGTTATTTTGTTTATGCTATCATGTCTTTTTTTATTCTCCCTTTCATCTGTTCTTAGAAGAGACATCGATGGTTTCATCCGATGTTCGTGTTATCCATGTGTCATGTTTTTGTGGGACTCCCCCTTTAGGAATTAGTGATGGCCCTCTGCTGCAGCTGAAACTGGAAGATCTTGATGCACAAAGTGTTCCTCGTGTTTACTGGTTTTATTCGCTGTGCTCTTTTTTTTTTTTTTTTTTTTTTTTTTTTTTTTTTTACAGGGCTGGTCCTCTAAGAAACTTTATTACCAAATAAATTTCCTCTTCTTTTCTTTTCATACTCCTTTAAACTAGATTCGTCGGTCTGTCTACCTGTTCGCTAGGGTATCTTGCACAGTATATGAACGAGTAAAAGCAAAGTAGACAATTCAAGATCTCACCAGAAGCACCCAGGCTGGAATTGGCGCATTCCCTTACCTTTTTTTTTTTTTTTTTTCTTTCTTTCCCCCCCCCCCCCCCGGAGCCGTCATCGGCGAGGGAAAATTATAGACTGGCAAAGCTACAATACAATATAAACATGATTCTCCTCTAACCCTAAACACACCCGCTTAGAGCTCCATCACGCTGGAGGTTCGCGGGATTCCTTCCGCACGGGAGACAAGAAAGTGCAAGTGAAGAAAGCTGGGACTAGGCTTTTTTGCATTCGAGTTTGCTTGGCTTGGCTTGGCTTGGGGAGCACCCCCCCCCCTGCTTCCACCGTAGCTGCTAGATTGGTGGGATTGCTTGTGAGCCATAGAAGCCGGGTGCTGGATGGGATCTTCTCACTTTCCTCCGCCTGGGGAAGGGGGCAAGTCATGTAAAATGTGACATGACCTTTGGGCACGAATTCCAGAGACTCGGGTGGGATTCTGAGTACTAGGTAGGTACATAGTACTAGAGAAAAAAAAAAAAAAAAAAAAAAAAAAGGTTCAGGCTAAGCTTCTCGTCGTCCTCCTCATCTTGATCGAGCTTAGCCCTCAGGACGAAAAAGCCAGTCGGTCTCTGGTGTCGGGACTAAGTAGTTCGTGATATTGAATTCGTTCGTGTTGGATAGAGTGCTGCCCACTATGGAAGAACTATTGTTTCCTGTTCCCGTGAGGCCGTGGATCGACATGGGATTATTCACGGCTTCGTTCATGTCAAGGCTGGTGATGTCGGCCGTGCGGGACGGGGGAACTCGAGGGACGTTGAAGAAGCCAAAGACATCGAGGTATTCCAGTTCGTTTGCTGCCAAGTTTCGTGAGAGGGCCCCGGCTGTAGAAGCGGGCGTTTGGCTTGCGGCGGGTGAGGACCGAGGCTGTCGCGATATGAGAAAGTCAAGGTCAAATGCGCACCGGCGCATATCTGCGAGAATCTTGACGGACGATGGCGTGGATCTATCGCCGTCCGCAGCACCGGATTGCTGGTACTCCCTGTACTCATCCAGAACTCGTTGCAGAATGGAGCTGTAGCGTTCTGCGACTTTCCAGTATTTGCCCATTCGGGAGAGAGTTTCAACAAAGCATATGATATCTGGGCTGACTGTATGGGCGATTGTGGAACCATGAACAAGGAGCAAACGAGCGGAAACCCAGAGGGTAAAAGCGAACGGTGGCCCGAGCTTGTCCAGAATGTTGTTGTTAATGACAAATCGAGTCACTGAGAGGATGATATCAACTGCAAGCAAACATCTTTGGCTTGCGCTGTACGACGGCGTAAATATCGGGGACCGCGTGGTAGGATATGCTGCGGACGAATGGAGGCGAATGACCGCACTATCAAATGGTTCATCTTGGTGTTAATTGAAATTCACAGGTAAATGTAATCGACTATAGCTGTGTACTTACGTTTGGTAAGCGGCATGGAGCTGAACCCAGTCACAATGGTGTCCTTTTTGTTTCGACCCATTAAATGCCCGAGAGGCATTTTCATAGGCATACTCGGCGGGAAGGCTGAACTCCCAAGTTGTCAGCTCGTCGTCCAATTTGCGATACATTGCTTGCCACTCCTCGACATCAGACAGAGCCCCGATATCCACCGGTCGTTTCAGAAAGAGATGAATCCGTGAGAGGATGCCAAGTATCTCGACATAAAGGCCAAAAGACCCTACGTTCTCTGAACGAGTCAGACGGTCCGCACGATCGGTGGATGACTGGAACCACCTGGTCTCAACTGGTTGGTTTTTAATAAAGTACTCTTCTTTGCAGGGAAGCTTGCGATCGATATCTTTATCGTCTAACGCAAAATCGAACGCCGTTGCAATTGTGGAGTAACGGTCTAAAAGGTAGACCATCCAAAAAAGGCGGCGCCTGCCTTCATCTTCAATCCACGAGTCTGGTTCTGGGAGTGTTACTGCTCGTAAGGTGTATATGGATGGGTACACAGGAGAAATGAGTGATGATTTGGTTTCGACCGCTAGTCCTAGTTGGACCACTGATCTCGTAATTAAAGCGAGTAACTTCCATCCTGGGGGGCCATTAGAGGATCCGACTAGATCGAGCGCGAGGATCACAAGAGCTTGAAGGGCCTTCACCGATGAATTTTCGAGGCCGTACAGAAGCACCTTTTGTTTCGAAAAGTCGTGATATCGTTTCCGGTTCCCGTCAGTGAGTCGACTATCACTTGAATAGCGAAGGGTAGTCACAACTATTGAATAAAGCACCATTCGGTCCGCCTCTTCAAGAGGCGAAGGGCCAAAAAAGGTGTCCAGTGTTGTTCGCCGGTGGAGAATGGGACACCATGTGTTAATATGCTCAAAATACAGATCTACTAGTGCATACAGTAGATCATACGGCGGAAGGTCAAGCTCGGGGCCGGCAAAGGACTGTTGTTGGTTGGAGAATAAGTTGACAGGCACCTTCAAGGATGACTCGTTATCGGTAAAGTCATTTTGAGGCGTAGTATTTGTGATATGCGGTAGTGATGGGACAGATGGAATGCCACTCGGGATATGATTAGGCATGGCATTCTTCACTGACAAGTCAGTGGGACTAGTAATGGATGTGTCCGCGCGACGCGGGGCGGGGGGAACAGATGATGGGTCTTGGAAGTAGAAGGCATTTTGCGGGCTAGGCCCATGTGCTGCAGAAGGCTCTGATGGGGAGCTGTAGGAAAGAGCTGCTGGTTGTGAAAGGCCATGCGATAGATGGGGCTGGTTCTGGAGAAGATGAGTTTCAATGAGACGGCCTTGCGCTTGAATGACCTCCTCCAGCCTGTCTGTTGATCGAATAGTTAAGCATTGCCGCTGAAGTAAGTGCAGATGGGGTGCATATTAACATACCCAACCGCTGTTCTAGTTCCTTGCCATACCCTGCCCGGAGGCCAGGCTTTTTGCGCTCCTTGTACTCACACACCTGGCCATTGCGAGAGCACCATCCACAGCTGGGCTGGGCTCGGTCTAACTAGATTAGAGCCCATATGGATAAGGAAGCGAAAGGGACGGCATAGAGACAAGGCAAGTAAGATGAGGCGCTGATGAAACAAGCTACAGCGAGAAAAACGTACCACACTTAACTTTTCTCTGCTTACATAGCTCACATCTAGATAGGTCGAGCTGGTTAACGTCCGGAACCAACAGCAACTAAAGTGGATCCCCGAAAACATGCATGAAGGAATAAGATCGGCGAAATAACGCCTGATGATTTTCTTCAGGACAGGACCAGGGGAGACCAAAAGTACTTACGATACGGTAAGCGGGCGTCTACGTTTCAGGCCTCGCGTGGAGCCATTAGGCGCGAGACCATTATCACTGTCCGCAGCAGACCAAGACTCATCCGCACTGTGATACTTATCCTGATCACCGACCGGATTCAAGATCGCGGGGGAAGTCTGAAAAGATGTGGTCACTGCAGAAGCAGTGTTCGGCATGGTGATTTAGCGAGGTCGGAGTTTTAGGACACCATCAGACGCGGGAGCTCATGATAGTCTTGGGGCCAAGTCTAGATCGGGGGGGGGGGGAAGATAAAGGAGAGGCGGACCCCAAGGAGATGTAGGAATAATAATTAAAAGAAATGTCTGGGATACGGTTGGTTTGGAGTCAGAGAAAGAGGATAGCGGAGGGGGAGAGATGGAAAGGGAATGAATGAATCCTGAGAGAGAGACTCGAAGAAAGTTCGAAACTGGGGGACGTGGTGCCTGAGGCAGAACTTGTCTTTGTACATGCTAGTTCACCCACCACACCGAATATTTTGAAGCCATTCATTCAGCATATGATTATACTACTACAGGAGGGCAAGGTTCTACAATTATTATCAGCTTATATTGTTACTACTAGTATCTCTGAAAACATAACTTGATTTGTGTAACTCATGGGCCAGTAGTAGATTGCTCGCCCGGATGGCTCTTACACATCTATAGGAAGGATAATATTGGCTATTTACTCTATATAGGAGGGGTTAGGAGGGACTCTACATATATTTCTAGATATATATAATCTATTGTATTGAAATACCTTGCTGAGTTTAAGATAGCTGGAGGTTCTTAGTAGAAAAAGTAGAGTATTTAGTCAATGAAGCAATTCCATGGACTTTGGTGTGGAATGTGGCTGATTCTACCCGCGACCAAAAAAAAACCCCGCAAAATACCAAACTCTCTCCACAGAACCACCAACACAGAGTACATTCCGGATTTAGTTTCATCAGAGAAATTATAATGAAATAACATTTACACTGATAGTCAAAAAGAAAAAAAAAATATAGAAGAAATCTCTCTCAGGGTTGGAGGGGAAAAATCGACAAAAAAAAAAAAGAACGGATTAAATCACTCCCCCACACACGGCAAGTCAAAAAGCCGACAGTTCTCCGCCTCCACAGATCCGCTCGCTGATCTCGGTCGAGCATTGCCCCGAGGTAGGACTTCACCTTCTTACTGTGAGTATAACCCCTCGAATCCAGACCAGATCGTGGGCGTTCAAATATGGCCTGCCTTCCTCGCGGAGATCTAGCATATTAAATTTCATTTTTTACCCCCGTCATTCTTACACTGTAGTTTTGCGCACTTTCTCCGAGTTACCCTCTTCACCATGGCTTCTACTACCGCTACATTCCCCCGCATCAAGGCGATCCGCACTTTTGTTATTGATGGCGTTGGATCTGGTGGGGATTATCACAATGTATGCTGCTCTTCCCTTTCATTGAATATTCTCGGTCCATTTTCGTGTGCTCACTTCGCCTTAGGTTAAAGGTGGCCACTGGCTGATCGATAGCGACATCGCTACCCCCATGACCCGATGGGCACAGTACCGTGGATCGCGAACATCCTGGGGAATTAATGTTCTGGGCTCCTTCTTTATTGAAATCGAAGCGACTGATGGCACCAAGGGCTTTGCCACTGGGTTTGGTGGCCCTCCTGCTTGCTGGCTGGTGCAACAACACTTTGAGCGTTTCTTGCTCGGTGCAGGTACGAACGCTAAACAGACTATATGATACAAAAGAACAGACCAGGACATAAGACCAACTCTCTTCTTTTCTAATAGACCCCCGTGACGTGAACGAACTCTTCGAGAAGATGTACCGCGCTTCCATGTTCTACGGCCGTAAAGGCCTCCCCATCGCCGTCATCTCCGTGATCGACCTGGCATTGTGGGATCTTGTCGGCAAGGTTCGCAACGAGCCCGTTTACAAGCTCATCGGCGGTGCTACCCGCGCTCGTTTGGACTTCTATTGCACCGGCCCCCAGCCTGCCTCAGCCAAGGCAATGGGATTCTCCGGTGCCAAAGTTGCCCTCCCCCACGGCCCCGACGAGGGTGTCGAAGGTCTCCTCAAGAACGTCGAGTACCTCCGCAAGCAACGTGAGAGCGTCGGCCCTAACTTCCCCCTGCGCGTCGACTGCTACATGTCTCTGAATGTGCCCTACACCATCGAACTTGTCAAGCGCTGCGAAGCCGAGGGCCTCCACATTGACTGGTGGGAGGAGTGTCTCAGTCCCGACGACTTCGATGGCCACGCTCTGCTCAAGCGGGCCCACCCAACCGTCAAGTTCACCACCGGTGAACATGAGTACTCACGCTTCGGCTTCCGCAAGCTCGTCGAGGGCCGCCACATCGACATTATCCAACCCGACGTCATGTGGCTTGGTGGTCTCACTGAACTGCTTAAGGTCTCGGCGCTTGCTGCCGCATATGATCTCCCGGTCGTCCCCCACGCCTCCGGTCCCTACTCTTACCACTTTGTTGTCTCGCAACCCAACACCCCCTTCCAGGAGTACCTTGCCAACTCCGCCGACGGCCACACCGTCGAACCCGTCTTTGGCAATCTCTTCCTAAACGAACCCATCCCTACCAAGGGCTTCCTGGATATTTCGATTCTCGATAAGCCTGGTTTCGGTCTGGACTTGAATCCGGCTGCGCCCTTGATCCCGGCTGCTTTCATTCTCACCCCGGCTCCCCAGAAGAGCCTGACTGTTCCTGTTCCTACAGAAGAAACCCAACCCGAAACAAATGGCACATCATCTCATTAAATATAAATTGGGGAAAAAGGGATTCCAAGTCCTTATTTTCCCGACTATCGTTCTGTTATAATATAGTAGAATAAATAGTAGACTCCTCCATGCTCCTTATCCACCCACCAGTCTCAGTTTTGTTTCTTGACCTAGGATGCGGAACTAGTATTTGTTTGGGCTATTGAGATAGCAAAGGTATATCTAGATTCCTGTGATCGAAGTTGATCTATCCCCTATTCAGCCTATGGCGGTTAAATACTCTGATGTACCGGGTACCCTAGGGTATTTACGGAGTATACCCCCATTTACCGTAGCTTCCAAGGTTATGTACCTAAGCAGATGATGGACGGTGCTTGGAACATTCATATACCGTCAACAGAGCTCCCGAAGCCCCCAGCCCAGTGCCATATTGCCCTGGATGGAGATTTACTGCAAAATCTCACTTTGTTTCGGCTCCAACGCTAGTAGTACAAAAATCCGGGCAGAGAGGGAAATGACATTGTTAGTTTAGAGGTTATCGATATTTTGAAAGGAGGTGATGGCCACAATTCACAGATACTTACAGTCCGATTAATAATGTCAACATCGCAGTTGCTTCCCCAGGAAGGTACTCGACTAGTCGCAAAGATATACGACCCACTCTACTTCAATGATGACGAAGGGTATCTCAACCCGTTCCTCTGCATGGACAAGTACTACACCCACGAGGCCAACGCGTATTCATTTTCAGAATGGATTGACTGGGACTGGGATTCCTGGCTTGAAGCAGAGTTTACCCACACCGTTTCAAGCATCACGCCGGAGCTCTTAAGAGAGAGCTGGTTGATGGCTGTGTAGTGCATCACTCCATTCTTGAGCTTTTAATATGTGTGTGGTCCCTAAAGGTCTAGTACAGCTAGCTAGTGTTGGCATATCATAATCAATTGGGATGTTGGAACCTTCTGGGAGCCTACCTATACTGGATGCCATCACCATTCCATTCACTTCCACCACCATGCAAACGCTTAGCGACACATAGGCCACAGTCTTTATTGTGTCAATTTGTTCTACAACTTCATATATCTTAAACAACCCTTTCCTTTACTTTTCCATTAGTTTTGACACTAAATTGGATCTATTTCTATTTCGTCATTGATTTGACATCCATCATAATCTGTTAAAAGAAATACAGATGCATCCAAGTCAAATTAAACTAACCTGAAACATGACCTACCTTACATCATGTCTCGGGTTTTATATGGAAAGGATACCTAGTTCAAACAGTAAGTGGTGTCACTAACACAAAGCATCAGAGGCCATTTCCACTTACCACGCAAGTCTAAACCTCACCCTCACAGACATCTACCATTAACAAGGTCCTTTCTCCCTCGCCTTCCCTACTCTAGCCTTCTCCAATATCTTACAACAATCGGATAACACCGCCTCTCCGGCACCAAAGCGAAAGGAGGTCTCATCGCCGGACAGACTTTTCGGAACAAGATGTTGCCCAGCACTACAGTGCTAATGACCCCGAAGACCATGACATGACTTGGTGCCACGTTCTCGCAATGCTTTTACCATCATCTGAGATCAAGGCGGCGCATCTTGTTCCGAAACGTCTGTCCGGCGATGAGACCTCCTTTCTCTTTGTACGCATAACTTACGTCTCCCTTAAACAGGTATTACTTTGGCAAGGAGCATCGAGCGCAGGCTGGATGAGGGCACCATTGTTATTGCTCCGATTCCTGGAGCAATCACTGCACCGACACGTGGATGTACTGAAGGAGCAGCGGATCGAGACCCGTCACCGTGAGCGACAGCAGAAAGGCGGTGCCGGACGCGGATGTACATACTACTCGACGAGGTCAAGGACAGTGTGGGTGGGCCCTTATACACCAGGAGACCGGGAAAAAGCAATCGTCCGCCTTGAGGTCAGTTCTCCCCCAGCAGACTCTATCAACAAAACCAGCTGCTAACAGTTGATCATATAGGACATTGACAAGAAGGAGCTGACATTCCTCGGTGACAATCAACCAGCCCACCGCTACCTGTTCTTCCGGTTTATCATTTCGTACCTCTACGCCAAGGCCAATGGAAACACAATGGTCAGGGAGAAGGTGAACAGAAAGGACTTTTGGCCCATCATAGGCCGTTATTTACATAAATCCATGCTTGTCACTCTCGCTCGCAGTGTTTCTGGTACTGAGCTGCCGCGCTCGTTGGTCGAGGGGAAAACATTAGGAACGTGACAAAGCAACGGGTAAAGATAGTTAGTTATTGGCATGTTACTAGGCGTCCTTCTTAGGAATGCTCTCGTATGCAGTATGAAAGAAGAAGGGCAGAACAAAGATACCGATGAGGAAGAATACTGGCCTTGATGAGTGACCAGGAAAGGTAGTCCTGTGGGCGTCTGACGATCAGCATTTTACATGGAGACATGTGTTTTTTTTTTTTCATTACAAGTCGTTGATCAGCATCCCCACATCAAGTTCTTTGGTATTAGACACTGATCGCACTATTCTACGAAATCAGGTGTTGACCAAAAATAATACTGTATCAGACGAAATGGTCGTCTAGACTCTAGAGACCCTTTTAGCTGAATGGTCAAGTTTGACATCAGGAAATCAGGAATCCTTCAACAACTTTTGATCTTTTTTATCATCCTTTGAGGAAACATTTATCAGGAACCGCATTAGCTCATTAGGAATTATTGAAATAGCTGAACTTCTTTCATCGATTGTTTCTTCTATACTACTTTTACCCACTTGATCTTTGTTTATCCACACCTTGAGAAACCCTTTGGAGGTTTGCATATAAGAAAGGTAACATCTTCCGAGCAACCTATCTGATCATCATAAGAGCATGTGCAGCCGGGAAAGAGGTGTTACACCAACTCAAGGGTACTTATATCTACTAGGTATCTTTTTTCACTTGGTCAGTGCCCTAACCCCTTGGCTTTGCGATGATTTCAAAGCAATTATATGAAACTTTTGTTAAGGACCCCTTTTACCTACTGTAATTACCTTGATGTGTCCGTACCTAGCCCGTACAATACGAGAGGCTACCAGTCCACCAACCATATGCGGAACAGATCTCTATCGGTTCGGTTCTGACAGAAGATGCTCCTTGGTAAGCCCCAATTTTTTTTTTTTTTCGCTTCAATGTAACAAATTTAAATACCCTGGACAAACTAGGCTAATTGACCATAGTTCAGAGAAAAACCGCGGTACAATGGCTATCCAGTACACTTCAACTTTTACATGGAACAGTCCCCTAGAGCTTCATTGGTTTTAGCGTTGTGGGTGAGCACAAGACAAGTATCCCGGAACCTTGGAGCTTCAGGGAGGGAACTTGCGATTCGACCTGTGTTATTGATAACCCAGCCCTCAATTGCCTCAGGAAGGAGTCCTACCTGAAGTGAAAGTGTTCCGAATCTCTTCTCCCAAAGTTTGATAAGGATCCATAGATTCAAGAGACCATTAATGATTGTGCGCCTCAAGTTATCAGCCCTGTAGTGTTAGGTACCAACTGATCCCTGGTACTTCGTAGTAGTAGCATTCCTGCCCAAATGCTAGTATTGTTGAATACCCAGAAGTCATCTGTTAAACCATAGTAATACCACCGGATAATAATAATAATAATAACACTGCTGCTATTCCGCTTGTCTATTTCATAACCCAAAGAACTAAGTAACTACCTAGGTACTTGTAGGTACTCTGTACTAGTGTACTAGTCCTCGTATCCACAGATCGAAATTTATTAGGACGGAAATGCTACGTTTTATGTTAGCATCTAGAACCCTCTCTTCCTAGTCAACCCATCCCGTGCCTATGAATAAATTTCAGTCTTGCTATTCTTCTTTTTATTCCCTTTTTTCCTCTTCTTTTTTCCCTGGTCCGTAAATAATATATATAAAATAAAATAATGATCAGTACAAAAAGTACTTGCCACTAAGAAAATTACTACTATCTTTGCACCAAATTCGGATTCCCTCACCGCCAACCCCCCACCCGTGGAAATCGCCTTTCGATAACCCCTCCAGATTTTTGCTTCGAACCCGCGGTTTCTGCTTCGCACTCACTGCCCTTCGACCTCGGAGATGCAGTTGTCGGCTTCTCGCAATCCTCAACCTGACCCCCATCCTGCTCACACTTCTCACGCCCAGAATCCCCTCTCGGGTGATATGAAAAGTCGCGCTCCCCTCCCGGTTCCATCCGGGCCTCAATCTCTCCAGAACGGTCACGCTCGCAATCCCTCAGGCTTCGACATGGCTGCCCGCAGTCCCCCAAATCAGAGCAGTATGCCTTTCCCATTATCCCGTCAAATTTGGGGATTCATGCACTCGCCTGGCGCAATATTCTCTTGGCCGCACTGTTGCATCGGTTTTCTTTTCTCGTCGTGGTAGAGAGCTAATTTAACTCCGCTCTTCAACTTCAGATACCAAACATGTGCCCTGCAAGTTCTTTCGTCAAGGAGCTTGTCAAGCCGGGCCTGCTTGTCCATTCCTTCACTCCACCGATGCTGCGATCGATTATGCGCCCTGCAAATATTTCACAAAGGTACGCATCATCCGATATCATCATCTGCTACATCCTTCTCTTCGAGACCATGTGACACTGATCAAATACGTCATGTGCGGGTTTAGGGAAACTGCAAATTTGGCGCAAAGTGTGCACTGGCGCATATCCTACCTGATGGTCGACGTGTAAACCGGCCTACCCCTGGGGGCATGGGAATGAGTGGCAGCCATCTTAATTTAGGTGGTCGGGTTAATCCGCAGGCGTATGTCAACCAGGATTCCGCGTTAACGAACTCGGTGCTTTCGCAACAACGAATGAACGGCCATGATCCACGGTACACCTCCCAGCTTCCCACTCAAGAGGAATTCGCCGCGCTACACCCCCAGCAACAACCTCCCTACGACACCATTCCATCAATCGACACTGGTCTAGCCTCCGATGCTGGTTCTAAATATGGCTCCCCGGTTGAGGAATTACGATTTCCGATGTCCCCCAATCATCATCAGCATCTGACTGCTCTTGATGCTCCGCTTCCTGCGTCCTTTGACAGCCAGGGTATCTCACATGCTGCTCGCTATGGCCCTGTGGCTGCTTCTATGCCGTCCAAGTTCGGCCTGGAACTGTCCCCGCCTGCTCAGAGAATAGGCGCCCCCCCGGATGCGCTCCGAAATCTACGTGACACCGCTTATGGATCTGATTCGAGGAAGCCTTCATCATCTTTCATTGGATCCTCGCCCCCGGGTATGCTGGAGGATGGCTTGAGTTCGCGATTCCTTCACTCCCAGCGACCGGTTAAGGCCCGCATGCTTTCCGCAAGTGTACCCCGACCCACAGCTCTGGATGACTGGGACGATAGTAATTTCCCGATGGAGGAGGACTATTTGCCCATCAACCTGCATGATGACGTGCTCACTCCTCAAGAGCGACTCCGACGCATGTCTCGCACGGATCATGACCTTAGCTCCAGTCACCGTGACCTTAGTGGGCTAGGCATGAGTGGTACCAGTTTCTCCAAAGTCAGCTCGCCGCTTGCTTCCAGCCCCTCTCGGTTCGGTGCCTTGTTCGCGAAGCAGCGCCAAAAGAAAGAAGAAGAATCTCAGGGCACCTCATTCTCACACATTGGATCCCCTCTACGTGAGTCTTCACTAAACCTGGGTATGAGCCCAAGTCTCGGCCCTATCGGAAGCCCCCCACGATATACTTCAGCCTCTATGATATCCCAGCAGCTCAGCGGTCTATCTCTTCATCCTCCTTCTGCCCGTCATACTCCATCATCCATCGGTACTAGCAGCCGGCTAGACCGTACAGTCTCGTCGCCCGTCAGCACAAGCAAGATTGATGAGGAACAAGGTGACTTGGTTTTCTCTATGGAGGAGGAAGAGAACAACAAACGAAGCAGCGCCTCCTGGAGTACCCACAAAACGGATACCAACGATGGGTCTTCAACTTCGGCGAAAAGCTCTGGTTTCCAGGAATGATGATCTGCAAACATTCAAAAGGCGCAATGCAATTTACTATGAGAAACGGACGCCCTTCGTCCCATTAGGGACCCCCCCCCCCCAAAAAAAATAAAAGTTGGGATAAAATTTGGTCTACAAAAGCTAAAAGACAGTCATCAGTCGGTACCAGTCCACAGCCTTGATAATCATCATCAGAGGATTACAAGTGTCCGTGTTACCTTCATCGGAGGGCATTTTGCATACATCGGTTGAGCGATCTCCGGGAATTTAGTTCAACCTTCTTTCATCTTCATCATCATGACTTTGCATATTTTCGCCTCTTAGACAAATCTTGGTGTTTTATTTGAACGGTTCTTCTAATGGTGTTCCAGAATAAATGTGAAGAGAGATGCCGGGGTTTAAATTATCTATCTATCTTTGCGTTTGTCCAAGCCTTCTATTTTCCCTACCTCTCTCTCTCCCCCTCTTCTTTTTTTTTGGCTCTCTTTTGTGAATGAATGATACAAGAATCATTACAGAGAGTGTGAAAAATTCCTTCTCTTGGCATACCAAGTCTTCCATGTACCTTTCCAGGGCTTGGACCGGTTGTGTACACCTTATTTTTATCATTATTATTTCCTTCTGGTTTACCCTTGGTTTATTTATACTCACGAGTCAATGACGTGCTTCTATTTTGTATATTTCTTCTTCTTTGTTCATCCCATTGTCCTCTATGCCTCTGATTCTTGATGCACGAATGTTTATTGGGGTATTCTGATTGCATTACAGCTGCAGCATAACATGTACAGAGAACTATAAGAATAGGGGATTGCCAAAGACCAGAATTTTTTACTCCTGTGTTGTAGCAGGGTGCTCTGAATGACTATCATGGCTTCCATGAGCGTGTTTAGTTAGAGAGCCCGACAGTCCAAAGATCTATATACGTATAACACGCAAGTCATTCAAGACTCAGTAAGATAAGCGCGAAGCTTTGTTTCCAAAAACACAGCTGCCCAGCGTACAAGCAGTGTATAAAGATATTTACTCGAGAGCTAGTTATTGCAAGGCGTGTTCCTAATTATACCTATACCTAGGTAGTAATAGAAAATACTAACAGCATTTTAAGAAACATACCTACCTTATGATTATAGCTATGCAGAGTGGAAGTGAATAAGTGCCAATCAATAACTAGTGAAATAAATAGCACTTGTTAGTGCAGGATACATAAGTGCAGTGGATAATAGTACATATATATATTTTTGAATTCCCCTATTTTAATACTTTCTCAAGTAAATTTCTAGTTTTCTTCATGAATTGTTGTTTTATAAGTAGTTTGGTTGGTTTCCGGTCCTATGAATTCTCCTCGATATCATATGTAACTATATATATATGTTGGCTTGACTCCGTATTTCTGTCAAAATCTGCAACTAGGAATCGATCCCCCCCTTTTACGGAGTACAACCCCATGTCTGCAGACACAGCCTTTATGTATATGGGATGGGGCGGACTCCACTGTGGTTCGCGTCAGAGTTCATTATTATTTTGGTTGTTGCCTGCGAACCAACCAACCAACTACTGTGAGTCTCATCTTTCTCCTGACCTATCTACCGTTCCCCCGGTTAACAAACACTAGCTTGATTAACTAGCCTTGCTTGCCTCCTGCGATCAACGTCTTGAGAGTTGAGATTCGATAATCATTATGATTTAACGGGATCTACTTTGATCCGCAGGTACCCTCTCCCTCGCTTCCCTCCCCCGCCTCCTAATAGCAACATCAGGGCCCGGTTTCTTACAGAGTGCACCCATTCTCAGGTACCATGCCCGAATCCTTAGTAAATCCCCCAGATATGAGGGATACTGAGAATGTTTCGGATCGGTTCTACTCTAGACGGCCCGAGCCTATATCGCTGTCGAACGTCCCGAAACTCTCCTCCCCTTTCCCTTCGCCGACCGAAGCCAAGCATCCCCCAGTAGGGAACCAAGTAAGCAGCGGGGAAATTGTACAAGATGGGGAGAGTGTCAATCACAGCAAGGGCAGGACGCCTGCAGGAAATACCAGTGGGATGTCGGAAATCCTGGACGCAGAGAATCCGGCCACGTTGAGTCTCCGACGACCAAACGACTCGAGTGTCGACAACCAAAGACAGGCATCGATTCAGACAGCGCCCACCTCCGTGCCCGGGTCGACTGCATCGCCGCCTCGTCCAAGTGTGCAGTTCTCGAGAGAAACGTCCGAGATAGATCATACGGCCCCCGAACCCGCATTGTCTCGACCCTCTTCGTCGATGGGCGATGATGCGGATTCCGGGTTAAAGGGAAAGCAATCGATATTTACAAAGTTGAAAGCCTTTGCGGCATCCCCATCGTTCGCAGCACACTCTCGCTCTGTTAGCACTGCAACAGTTGGAGAGAATAAACCGTCGAATGTGGACTTGGCTACCCCCGCCTCTGAAAGAGGAGAATTTCGATTCCCCAATACCCTAGAGGAAGAAGGAAGTGACATTGATGCAGATGCGGAGGAGAGTGCTGGGGAGCAGCGACCCCCCCGGGAACAGAAAAAAAAGCGACAGCTACGACGACAACAACAGCAACATACTGATTCTGCACCCGGAACCGAACCAAACACCCCGAAGATTATAAGTCGACCGTCGTTCCACCTGCACGGGTCCTTCACTCCCTTTGAAAACTACCGACCGGCCTTTTTCCAGCGCAGGGGAAGTGCCGGAGACCTCCCCCAGCAGCGCGAGGGTGTTTCCGAAGACGAGGGCCGTGATCGTCTCAACAGGGATACAGCTTGGAGGCGGAGAAGTACCTGGCTGGCCAATGCGCGCGGGCTGAGCACTACGGGACGACAGCTGGAGGGCCAAACAATCCAGGAAGAGAGTGCTAAGCGACCACGCAATTTTCGACGGATTACCGCCGGCCTGGCGGGCCCGTCTGACAACAATGGAGAAGGCCTGGCACCGCCCTGGAGGCGTCACCGGGCAGATCGTGGCTCTAGCCTCAGTGCGCAAAAGTGGAGGCAGATTAAGGCAGGGTTGAAAATGATCGGGCAGAGACGCAAGGTCGATAACACTGTGGACCACGCAAAGTCGGCCGAATTGTTGGCAGAACTGGCGTCAGGAGTACCGGCTGCTCTGATATTGGCGAGTATGTTCCAACGAGATGAACATGGCAGCAAGCGCATCCCTATCCTCCTAGAGCAGCTCAAAGTTCGCGTCACGGATAGCAAGATCGACTCGCACTCGGGAGATCGTCACCTGGTCTTTCGAATTGAACTGGAGTACGGCAGTGGCATGACACGCATGAAATGGATCATCCACCGAACCTTGAGAGATTTTGCAAACATTCACCTGAAATATAAGCTCCACTTCGGGACCCAAAAATACATCCAATTGCGAAACACCGAAGGGGGCCAAAACCTTCCTCGCTTCCCCCGCAGCGCGTTTCCATACCTGCGAGGTGTTCGGGGTTTGGATAGTGATGCAGAAGATGAGGAAGATGAGGGCGGATATGAAACCGCAGCTGAGGCCACGAGTGGCAATGAAAGGATTTGTAGAAGGCAGCTACAACCACAGCATGCACGCAGACGGTCTTCTGGTGGCATATCCCGCAGACTGTCAAGCCTAACGAATCCGGATGGAGACAACACTGCTCCCGAAGGCCCGGCTAAGCGGGACAGCTACCCAGAGCGGCAGAGGAGAAAGTTGGAATCTTACTTGCAGAAGTTGATTCGGTTCCTCATCTTTAAACCAGACAGCAACCGTTTGTGTAAGTTCCTCGAACTGTCTGCCTTGGGCGTCCGTCTTGCCGCGGAAGGGAGTTATCACGGAAAGGAGGGATACTTGATGATCCAGTCATCCAAGGGTCTTGACTTCCGGCGAGCTCTTACTCCGGGTATGGTAAAGAAACGACATTCGCCGAAATGGTTTCTTGTCCGGCACAGTTACGTTGTCTGCGTTGACTCACCTGAAGAAATGAATATTTACGACGTGTTCTTGGTCGACGCTTTCTTTAAGCTACAGACGCAGAAGATCAGTCTGCGACATCAGAAAGCGAAAGAGTTTGCGAAGTCTGCGACAGAATCAGCAAGGCATCCCCAACATCACACGCTGAGACTCGAAAACTCCGAGCGAAAGCTCCGTCTGCTGGCTAGGAACGAGCGCCAGCTCCATCAGTTTGAGGATTCCATCCATTTCATGGTCTCTAACACCCCATGGGCGAAACCCAATCGTTTCGACAGCTTTGCACCAGTCCGTCACAACTGCTTTGCGCAATGGCTGGTGGACGCCCGGGACCACATGTGGGTAGTGTCCCGAGCAATTAACCAAGCCAAGGACGTCATCTATATTCATGACTGGTGGCTCAGCCCAGAGCTTTACATGCGACGGCCAGCTGCAATCAGTCAGAAGTGGCGATTGGATCGTCTGCTCCAACGCAAGGCTCGCGAGGGTGTGAAGATCTTTGTCATTATGTATCGCAATATCAACTCCGCCATCCCTATTGACTCGGAATACTCCAAGTTTTCCCTCCTTGACTTACACCCGAATGTTTTTGTCCAAAGGTCTCCAAATCAATTCAGACAGAATACATTCTTCTGGGCCCACCACGAGAAGCTTTGCATCATCGACCATACCCTCGCCTTTGTGGGTGGAATCGATTTGTGTTTTGGGCGATGGGATACCCCACAGCATCTTTTGACAGATGATAAGCCAACTGGGTTTGAGACGCCTGGGGGACCGAAAGATGCAGATCACTGTCAACTCTGGCCGGGCAAGGACTACTCCAACCCCCGTATACAAGACTTCTACGATCTGGACAAACCCTATGAGGAAATGTATGATCGTAATGTGGTTCCTCGGATGCCTTGGCATGACATATCCATGCACGTTGTTGGCCAACCGGCGAGAGATCTTACTCGTCATTTTGTCCAGCGGTGGAATTATATCCTGCGTCAACGAAAACCGACCCGCCCAACACCTTTTCTATTGCCTCCACCGGATTTCGAGGCTGCCGATCTAGAAGCTCTTGGCCTCGATGGAACCTGTGAAGTTCAGATCTTGCGCTCCAGCAGCATGTGGTCGACAGGCACCCCGGATATTACCGAGCATAGTATCATGAATGCATACGTCAAATTGATCGAGGAATCTGAGCATTTCGTCTACATCGAGAACCAGTTCTTCATTAGTACTTGCGAGATCGATGGCAGAAAGATCGAAAATTTGATTGGTGATGCACTCGTCGAGCGGATTACTCGAGCTGCAAAGAACAAGGAGGCCTGGCGGGCGGTCATTGTTATTCCTCTGATTCCAGGATTCCAGAACACAGTCGATAGCGAAGGTGGAACTAGTGTTCGTCTGATTATGATGTGCCAGTACCGGAGTATTTGCCGTGGGGAAACGTCTATATTTGGACGCCTTCGGGCTCTGGGAATTGAACCTGAAGACTATATCCAGTTCTTCAGTCTTCGGTCCTGGGGTAAGATTGGTCCTCAGAAGCAACTTGTTACAGAGCAGCTCTATATTCATGCCAAGTGCATGGTTGTAGATGATCGGGCGGCCATTATTGGATCGGCCAACATCAACGAGAGGTCTATGTTGGGGTCACGAGACTCCGAGGTTGCAGCCGTGGTGCGCGATACAGATATGATTTGGTCTACCATGAACGGTCGTCCTTATCTCGTTGGGCGGTTCCCGCACACCCTTCGTATGCGTCTCATGAGAGAACATCTGGGTATCGATGTCGACGAGTTGATGGAACACTCACTAGCAACAGAGGAAGAGCTACGAAAGATCCAAATCGAGGAAGAAGAGCCAAAGCCATCCGGAAGCCAGAATAAGCAAGACTCAGAGTCCCTGATGTTAGAGAAACAGGATGAGAGGGACATGATCGAGCGTCGACATCGGATCCAGGACGAATTTCTGTCTCGTTCAGAAGAAATGCATAGTTTTAATCATGACGTCGATTGGGAGCAGGGCAATAACCCGAACCTCAAGTCCAACAGGAAGCTTACTGCGGATGCAAGAGTCACTTCCAATCAAGAACATAGGAACGATGTGGACGGGCTTGGCTCTGACAATCTGCATTGCGCCTTGCAGGCTGGGCTGGGTGATGGCCGGGATTCACAGGTCCTCGATAGCAAGAAAGAGGTCTTGGTTTCTTCCCTTGCAAGTGAGGGCAAGGGAACTATCCAGCAACCAAAAACCTCGCCGACGAAGACCTCCCCGCGGAGTACTCCTAATGGCAGGGATCTCAAGGAAGCACCCCCAGCCATTGCCCACCATGATGGCGAATCGCCGCTTGTCGTGGAAGGATTGCTAACAGCCCGCAACCCGTCGTTGCCACTGAATGACAACGAAATCAATGGCAAGGGGACTCCCGTCACACCGAAAGAGAAATTCGATACGTTGAAGCACTCTCACCCACTTGGTTCTGATATCCCGCATATTTTCATCGATAAGGACTGCATGAGAGACCCTGTCCTCGACCTCTTCTACCTGGACACCTGGCTTGCTGTTGCTGATAAAAACACCAAGATTTTCCGGTCCGTATTCCGTTGTATGCCTGATAGCGAGGTGAAGTCCTGGAAAGAGTACAAAGAGTACGCAGCCTATGGGGATAAGTTTGCCGAGATGCAGAGCCAACACAGCGCCAAGGCATTCAAACCGCCTCATCAACGACAGACAGGACCTCCCGGTACGGGTGCCAGCTGGGCCACCGGGCTGAAACATAACGTTTCCGTGTCCCAGGCCGCCGGTGCAGGGGCTTCTGGAATCGAACCGAAGGACAGACCAACAGGCGAAAAATCCGATCCTCTTTCAAATTCAAATGATCGACCAGTGTCCGCGGGGCTGAATCCAGAAACTACACCCCCAGTAGACGAGAAATCGGCTCTGAAATCAGCAAACACGGGTACCGGACGTCACGAGCGACACGACGAAGGTTGCTCTTCCGGAGATGACCAGGAGAAGCCTCAAGTGAATTATTCGGAGGCATTGAACCGCAACGCTACGACTCGATCACGGCGACGAAGACGAAGGGCTACAACTCTCGGCTCTAAGCGGGATTTCCATTCATCCGATGAGATTATGGACAAGCAGCATGCGGAAGATCTCCTTAATCAGGTTCAGGGGCACCTTATCCTCTGGCCCTACGACTGGTACGTTCCTTGCTGGATTGCCTTGAATCCCTACTAACGGTGGTGTAGGCTCGAGAAAGAAGAACAAGGTGGAAACTGGCTTTACACTCTGGATCAAATCTCTCCTCTGGAAATTTAGTAAGTTGCTTCGGCAGATATTTTGCCCCCAAAAATCGAAGTGCATGTGCATGCTAACTATGCTATAGCAATTAAATCTACCCCATACCATACATACCTCCTCGATTTCTCACGTCTTTCCATTCCACCAAAATCTCCTATGTTCCCGGCCCCTTTTTGCACCCATCCTGTTCCACTTGATTATTTTAGAGCGATTGTTTGTACCTGCTTTGTTATTTGAGTCCCTTTTTCCTCCTTGTAATATAATGTTGGCCCATATAACTGGTGTGACTGAACTGCATTCGTAACCCTGTTCAGCCTTTGCTTTGTTTTTTTATAGCAAGCGGGTGTTCTATCTATCTATACGCAGGTTTCTTCTTTATCTTGTCTCGTTTTTTTTTTTTTTTTTTTTTTTGAGCGTTTATTGCATCAAATAACTAGGACTTCTAATACATACGTAGTCAGTCAGAAGACATAAGGCTATTTATTTCTGGCAAAGATTGAATAAGGAAAAAAAAAAAAAAACATCTCTTATGCTTTCTTTACCTATCTATCTATCTATCTATCTATCTATTTTGGGCAGGTTGCTGTTCTAACCTTATGACTTACTTACTTACTTACTATGGAGTACCTAAAGCAGAGCAGACACTTGTTATTATATATATATAGGTAGATAGTTACATACTTTAGTTATCTAGATGGAGATTGTATGATATCAAGCCCAGGTCCATTCATTCATTCATTCATCGGCGCTAAGGCAGCTGTAACTACGATGTTGACTGCTCTTAGAAAGTAGGAATCATTCCGCAAGTGAGAGAGAAAAGAGAAAAGATTTTGCTTATTCTAAAGTCAAGGGTATAGTGCGGATTCTATATTTTATTGTTATTGTACATATATATATATATATATTACATCGGATTGCCGAGCAAGCGCCGTCGGAGATGAAAGGCATGGAAGTTCGCATGAAGAACATTATTCAGAATGCTCTTGCGTGTGGCCTGCGGCTCTGGTTCTTCCCACAGGCTCAAAGCCTCCTGGAGCGATTTATATGCTTTTGCAAAACCAGCTTGAATCTCGGGGGTTCGTTTACAGGAACGCCCGAGATCGTTCATGTAGTTGGCTGGATCCTGGACGCAGAGTTGAGACGCGGCCGCTGGTTTTCTCGCAGCCGTGCCCCTTTTCGTCTTGAGGAGGGCATACTGACCGCGCAGATGGGCGGGAAGATCCTCGTTCTCGCTTTTGTATATTCGGCTTGCTGCTTTAAGGGAACCCGCATTGAAAAGACCTGGGGGGTCGACTGCAATTCCGGTCGAGGCCAGGTTGATCTCAAGACCGAGAGACCGGAGAAAGGCGAGTAGAGCTTGTGCGCAGCTGTCTTCGCGCCGGAAGCGGCCATGGTTCATCTTGAGGAAGGCGGCAAGAACCATAATCAGGGTCTCACTCCTGATGGATTCGGAATCACTGCCAAATAACTTTTTGGTCTCTAGGATCAAGCGCGTGGTCATGTAGAGAGACCGAAGAATCGGATACTCTGCGTGGTAGTCCCTAATGTACTCAACGGACGCAGGGATTCCTTCGCCACATTGGAATTGGATCCGGAGACCTGTTGGCTCGTGGATGGCTGCTAGGCCCTGAGATGAAGTTCGTTCCAGCTCCAGGCTATACTTGGGGCTTTTGCGGAGGGCAGTTTCGACCTTTTCTAGCACTTCGCGGTGGAGTCGGAGCATCTGCGGGCGAGCCGGGCTGGGGCTTCGGATGCTACTAACTGAGCGTAATGGATCCTGGACAGGGAGCAGAAAATTGAGATCAGAGTGGCTCATTGCGAACCCCGTGCGCCAAGATCCCATCAGCTGTGGAGCATGAGAAACTTTCGCTAGAACCTTGTTTACATCCGAGGTCACTTGTTGTATTGTTCTTTGCTCTGCAAGAGTTGGGGACAGGTGCCTCTCCAGAGCGAGAATCTCCGCATTTAGTTGCGAAACACCACTTGAGAAGTCCTTGCGCGGGTTCAAATGAACTAACCATGGGGTTTCATCTGACTCGCCCAACCATTTATTAACATTCCATGAAAGCAAGTGCCATGGAGAAGCCTGTTCTGGAAAAGGCCGTTCATTGTGGGAAAGGGTTTGATCGAGAGGCTTATTGAGCTTGGGACGGTTGACATTATCGTGTTTGCTTCTTTCCTTGATTTTCTTGTCTCCGACAAGGCCTTTAAGCTCATCAATAAACCGGTCCTCATCAGTGGCAAGGTCCTCCGTATTGCCAAGGAGCACCCCATTAGAGTTGGGCTGTGATGTATTTGACCCCGATAGCCGATTATGTAGTTCATTTCTGGTAGTATTTCCTGGAAGAGGGGTAGAGAGGGCCTCTTCTTCTATCGCGTATGAATCGAACACCTGGCGTACAATTTGGCGCCGGTGTACAGATCGACGGACGTCGAGCGCCTTCAATCGATGGGCTTTGCGAATAGTTCCACTGGAAGCCCCTGAGAAAACCCAGCGGATTTGGACATTGGATTGGTCTGTAGATTGAGGAACTTCAGACGTCGTCCGGCTACTGATTTCATTAATAGATAAAGCTTCCTTCGCAGCGGGCGGCGTCTTGTATTGGTCTGTAGATGTCTTCTGTGGAGGCTCTTTGGCGGTTATTGGACGTCCCACCCAACGTATGAGTTTGCGTCGATTTGCATATCGATGGGCCTGGAGGGTTTTCGCGAGGCTGTTTTCATTAATAGGCGAAGCTTCCTTCGCCCGAAGGGATAACTGGGAAAATTTCCGACGGGCGAGATAAAGAGGAGCGGAGGTTAGATGATTCAAGGCAGAATAAAGGCGCATCATTGCGCGATCACCGAGGCGAAAAACGCATTGCCAGGCAAAGAAAGAGGTGAGAGGTTGGGAAAGTAGAGAGGAAGTGAGACAGCTAAAAAAAAAATAATACAGAGGGGTTTTATGTCTACCTCGCTCTTTTTGCAATGATCTTCTGGTGGAGTTGAGAAACTTCGTTATGGCAGAATACTTTTGTTTCCACCTGATATGATCACGTGGAGATGTCTGCCTAGGGCATCAGTTTTGAGGGTCATAGTTATGGTATTGTACTCGGTCTCTACCTGTTCTCGGTGTTCTTGGAGTTCTCGCTATTCCCCCCTTGGTAGCTACAAATATGGCTTCCAGTACCTATAGATAAAAAGCACTATCCGGCTCTAAACTATACTTCGAATTTGGGGCCTGGAAAATCGGCAAAGATCTCTCAAGCAAAGTTCGACAACAGGAAAACCAACAAGGTGGCTTTACATACGAACGGCACGAGGTATATGAAGCGACAAGGATTGATCAACCTTCTAAAACGCCTGACATCATAAAGATTAAAAAGCAGTAAGTCTCTATTGTTGTCTGAGGGAATAGACACAGGGCTAGGATGAAGGAAAGGAACCGGACTAACATTAATAGAATCGTCTCTTGGAGTAACTATGGTTATTCCGAGCCTAGTGACGAGGTTTGCCGTGAAATCCACAATCTATCCCAGTTAGAAGACTGCAGGAGCACGCCTAAACTTCTTGGGTACGCTGTCCGAAAGCAAGGCTCCAGTGACGAACTACCAGGCGGATATATTGCACAGATTGTGATGCAGCAGGTCCCCGGAGAGAATCTACATGGCTTTGACACATTTACGAAAGAGGAGCAGAATCGTATTCGAGTTGCATTTATAGAAATCATGGGATAGAAAAGGCTGAGATAGAAAACGTTTTGAGTTAGAGCTCTGCTAACGGCCTTTAGGGAGCTGTGTTCCCGCTATTTTACTCATTGGGACCCTCGAATAGAAAATATTATATGGGAACCCGAAAGTGGACAATGGTATGTGGCTTTCTTGAATTATCTCCGGTTCCTGCTGACTTGCTGCAGCTTTATTGTGGACCTTGAAGACGTTGAGCAACATACAAATCGAACCAAGGATGCCTTGATGCATTAGAACAATTGGAGTACTGGGGTCTAATCGAGAGACAATATGATAGTATACTCTTCGTTCCTCTCTAAAATCTACAAGTGGCCCATATTATGTCTAACATACTGGCGTTTCGGTACATGTAGAGCATCACCCCAATTGTGCTATAGTTATAGATACTAGGCCTGTCTATATATCCATGCCTTTCTGCCCACCTAAACCACTACCCGCTTTAGGTGCGCTACATATTCTTCATGATCACACATTCTTCGCGATTTTTTAATATTTAAAGCTATATAATAATAATAATACTAGTAATTAAAATAAAAAAACTCTCTAGCTTCTTTAGTATATCTTATATTATTAATTCCTCTTTAAATTAACTTCTGCAAGCATGAAGGGAGTAGAAAATCATATACTTTCTTTTTTTACTTTACTAATCTCCTCTACTTATATTTAGTATCCTTTGCCTTCCTATCTTTAATTAATTAAATAGTATCACAAACTCTTAGAACCCTATTACTAAATAGACTTTTAATCTAGTACTTAGTATAAACCCAGTATTAAGGCTCTTATATAGCCCTAATTCTTTAAATTACTTCTTAAGTTATTTTTAGCCCCTTAAGCTTCTTTACCTAATATTAAAAGAGTTTTAATATATTCTACCTTATCTAGTTAGATACCTTATCAAGTTCCTTTATAACCTTTACCTAATTCTTTAGAAGAGCCTCTATTATTACTAGAGGACTATTTTTAATACTAGAGGATAGTAATAGTGGTAGAGATAGGGTTTAATAAAAATTAATTAATATATCTAGTATATCTATCTAATTTACTAGTTTTTTAATAATTTTAGTACTATTAACTAGCTAGATATTATATTCTTTAAAGGCATCTTAAATAATTTACTGGTAAAAGGTCTAGTTATAGATTAGCTAGATAATCTTTAAGAACTCTACCTTCCTATATAGCTTATCCCCCTATTAAGATAGCTTATTATTCTTAAGGTAAAAATTAGTCTTATAAGTAAGAAAAGATTTTCTATTAAGAAATTAGTAGAAATATGTTAAATAAGCTATAAAATTAAAGAGAATAATATTATTTTTCTTATAATATTATAGAAATTTAAGTATAAGGTATAAGCTATAATTATTAAATATTAGATATTATTTCTTATCTTACTTAGTATAATTAGGATACTTTATTTTAGTATTAAATTAATATAACCAGGCAAGTATAAGCTTATTAGTTATCTAATTATTTAAGAATATTACTATTATTATTTTAGGTAATAGTTATTCTATATTATAATATTAGACCTCTATATAGTTACTTATTATTTTAAAAATAAAAAATAGGTCTATTACTTAATTATCTATAGTAATATATTTAACTATAGTAATATTTTTACCTTACTTACTTTTTACAAGATCAGGGTGTCACAGTGCAAAGCCATAGTACCTATCTAGTTAGATTCTGCCTTGACTGTCTACCCTTATTCCTGTATTTAAGCTATATTATCCTTAATCCTATTATAGCTCTTTAAGCTATATCCTATCTATTACTTAATACTTATTATTCTACTATTCTATCTAGTTAGCTCCTAATTAATAAATATTTAAATCTAATTTTACCCTCTAATATTATATAGCTCCTCTTTACTAGAAGTTAATTACTACTATTATACCTGCCTTACTACTTATATTACTTAAAAATATAGAAATCTTCCTATATAATATCCCTAATAAATTAAGATAATATATTACTAAAATATACTAATTTTTTATTATTATTATAAAAAAATTTTATAAATTATTTATCTTATACTTTACTATTATTAACCTTTTTAACTATATTTAATAAAAAAATAGTATAATTAAGTACTAGAAGATATAAGCTAAAGAAATTTAATAAAAGTTATTTAAAGTACTTACTTAGAATAGCATGCCTTCTTAATTATTATTTTCTTTTAAAAAAGATACTAATATTACTACTCTCCCTATTATTACTACTACTCTTATTATATTTATTCTTACTACTTAAACCTCTAAATAACTTCCTAACTCTAATAAGTTTAATAATTAATAAAGTAATTTAAGATACTTTATTTCTTAAATTTACTAAAAAATAATTATAAATCTTAATTATTTCTTAATCCTAAATAGTAAAATAGCTTATATAACTAGTTATTTTAAAGAAATCTTATATATCTAAATCTTATTATATATCTAAGATAGAATCTATAAATTAAATAATTATATTAAGATTTTAGAAATCTTAAAGAAAGCTTTTAAAAATTTAAATCTAGAAATTAATATTTATATTAATCTATTCTATCTTTAATAAATTTATTATAAATTTAATATTTTTTTTACTAAATTCTAATATCTTATATTAAAAGAAAATATAAATAAAAATATCTTACTTATAATTCTAGAATAGGTTATTAACTAAAAACTTTAAAAAATATTAATATACTTTAAAGCCCTATTATAATATTATAACTTTACTAATTACCTATAAAATCTAGAAAATTACTATTATTATTATATAAGTACTGCCTTACCCCTATTTATAAAGAATTTCTAGCCTTCCTAACTTATTTTAAAGTTAACTCTTACTACCTAAATTCTTATAGTCCTTATTAATCTTATTATTACTACTGCTCCTACTAAAGACTTAATAGACCTATCTATTACCTATTACCTTAATTATCAAACCTAATACCTGTATTACTACTATAGCAGTACTAACTACTTAGTAGGTAGCTACTTATACCCTAATTAAAGACTAACCAGCTATATTTCTATATCTACTACTAAACTAGACCTATACTTCCTATTAATTAGAACCCTGCCTACCAAATACCTTATATTCCCTAAATTAGAAAATAAAGTATTCCTAACCTAAGCTATAATTAGGAATACCCCTAGTACTCTCTCTACCTATTAAAGGCTGTAATAGCTAGAATAATAGTAGAAGAGGAAAATTACTAATCTAAATTAATAATTCTACTTATTAACCTAAAGACCCCTAATAAGATTCTACTAATCTTTATTATAATTAACTCTAGAATTAAGAGTAAATATTTTATAAACTATAATTAGACTATAGATAACTAATTAGAGATACTACTATTAAAGAACCTTATTTTATTAAGGGGATTTAATAATACTCTAGTAAAGTTTAGTAATATTATTTATTTTATTTATTTAATCTAAAAAATTTATAATTATACTAAAAAAAATATTATTTTTCTTATAACCTAACTTATATACTTTCTTATTATTCTTAGCTTATCTTAATTAAAAATCTATAATCCCTAGATTAGATTTACTAATTATATTATTTTATTTAAAAGCCCCTATTATAGAAAATACTATAATATACCTCTAAAGTCTATAAAGATTTTAGTATTATATAATATATTATTAAAAGCTTCTTCCTAATACCTTAATCCCTACCCTAAATCTCTAAAGAACTAAGATATTACTAGAATCTTAGTTACTACCTGTACTATATATGCCTGCTATAGATACTAGATATTTATTATTACTATTACTAATATTAAAGCTACTCTAAATCCTATTACTATTATTAAATCTAAATTATAAGAATAACTATCTCCTAAGTTTACTAAATTCTATAATATATTCTTATTAAAGAAGGCTAAGTATTTACTACTTTACTAATCTAATAATTATAAGATTAAATTACTACCTAAAAAAATCTTATCTTTTAAGAGCCTATATAGCATGTCCTAAGATAAACTAAAAATTTTAAAGAAATAGATTAAAGAGAATCTAAAAAAAGATTTTATTTATTCTAATTTCTTTCCTGCTATATCCCTTATTCTATTTATAAAGAAATCTAGAGAAGACTTATAATTCTATATAGATTACCAAGCCCTAAATATAATTATTATAAAAGATTATTACTTATTACTATTAATAAAAGAAATATTAAATAACTTAAAAGAGATAAAATATTTCTTAAAAATTAATATTATTTTTACTTTTAATAATCTATAAATTAAGAAAGAATAAGAATATCTTACTATTTTTTAAACTTAATTAGGCCTATTTAAATCCTTAATAATATTATTTAGATTTACTAGAGCCCTAATATTATTCTAGAAATTTATTAATAAAACCCTATATAATTATCTAGATATCTTTTATATTATATATCTAGATAATATTCTAATTTATAGCTAAATTTATACTAAATATATTTATTATATTTAATAAGTATTAGAATACCTATAAGTAGTAGGACTTTATATTAAATTTAGTAAATATAAATTTTTTATGTATGAGATAAAGTTCCTAGGACTAATTATAGGTAGAGATAGCTTCTAAATAGACTTTAATAAAGTAAAAATAATCACTAAGTAGGAAATATTAACTTATCTAACTAATATTTAAGTCTTTATTAGCTTTAAGAATTTTTACTATTAATTTATTTATAATTTTTTAAAAATTATTAGATTATTAGTTAATCTAACTAAGAAGGATATTAACTTTAATTAAATACTTACTTACTAAGAAATATTTAAATAATTAAAAGCTACTTTTATAAATATCTTAATATTAAAATCTTTTAACTAGTTAAAAAATATAATTCTAGAAATTAATATCTCTAATTATATATTTACTAGAGTACTATTATAATATAATAATAAAGATATATTATATCTTATTATATTTTTCTCTAAGAAATATTCTATAATAAAATATAATTATAAGATTTATAATAAAGAATTATTAGTTATTATTTACTACTTTAAAAAATAGTATCCTAAATTAGAAAAGACTTTATTACTTATAAAGATTATTATAGATTACTAGAATCTAGAATATTTTATATTAATTAAGCTACTAAATTATTAATAAGCCTGCTAGTTTAAATTTTTATTAAAATTTAACTTCTAAATATATTACTACCCTAGGAAGTTAGGTATTAAGCTTAATATATTAACTAGGAGGTTAGAAAATCTATCTAAGAAGAGGAATAAATAATTCCTTTACTAGAGCTAGACTATCCTAAAATCTAAAAATCTACTACCTAAGACTACTACTAATCTAAGACTAAATATTAATAATTAATATTAAGTATACTTTATTAAA